ACATCGCCAAGGTAATTCAGCAAACAGAATGTCCTAAAACTAAGAGTTTTATTTATCGTACTATTTTAGTGTAAAAAATAGTTGGTATTATTATTATTTTGATTTGATTTAAGAGAGTGCCGATAATAATATTGGCCCTTTATATATTTTCATTTTGAATTTGATTATGTATTGTGATAAAGTTGCATAAACATGTTGAAACACTTTAAAAATAAACCAAAAAATACAAAAAAAAAAAAAGAAAACAGAAAAAAAGTTAAGATGTGTACGTGTTCTATTTTTAATGTTAGTACATAATATACTTCTTTCCACGTTGAGGTACGGTTTGGACATCAAGTGGAACTTTTCCCCATCTTAGGATATACTTAGTCGGGTGGAGAATATGATGTGTTGTTTTGGAGTTGTATATTACACAGTCCATGTGCATTAATCTAATTCTATATTTGACTAAAATTTCAATAAGATCAGATTAAGCATATGTACAAAAAGTGCAGTCCTGAGGGACCACGCCATCTGATTTTATATCCATTTATTTTTACCAAAATAGAAAACAGAAAGATAAAATTATCTTTATTGTATATTCTATAATAATATATATATATATATATATATATGAGATAAACGAAGCAATTTGCCATCTGATTTTGAGATTTAAGATGGATCCCCTCCAGTAGCCCACTTGGTTTGTTTAGCCTAAAATGTAAAGAAGGGTGGGCATAGAGTCACGTGTAAGAACTCATAAGAACCCTAATTACATCATTTTGAAAACGAACACTTAGCTACTTTCCTTCTAAATGCTATACTACTCATCTTAATTTTTAAGCAGCTAAAACATAAACAGCTTTGATTTAATTTGTAGCTAGGCAGGCAAAGCCAGCCAGTTGGCGATTTTGATTGGTAGGTGATGGATCGAGTTCAAAACTTTGCGGGTTTAAATTAACTAATTACTAAGAGGAGAAGTGAACCAAACCTAGTAAGTAGTGATAAGTGTTATGTTAGTTAGACCTATTGTAAGGTTCCTACAAAAGTTGTACATGTGTTTGTTACTAAAAAGATGATATCCCTTTTCTTTTTTCTTTTTTCTCTTTTTTCTTTTCAGGTCAAAATCGGGTTAATTAGCTTGGTAAACCTTGAATAGTAAGTTGGTGCTAAAAGGACACAGTTTGATGGCTATCACTTAATGTCCACAATGACCTCTATGGTACGTTTGGTTGGGAAAATGGAAGTATTAAATTCAGCATGATCCCAGAAAGAAGGGAAAAAAAGCAGTACATATATATGGTTGATAGAAAAGAGAGGTGCAGAGTAATGGAAGCATTCTTCGAAGTTGCACCTATAAAAATTTTGACTCTTGATAGTAATTATTCCAAATTACCGAATAAGTTAGGATGATAGGTTTAATATTGAGTTCATAATATATTAAAAAAAATTCGTCTCAATTACAAATTTTGAAACAACTAAGGTGATGATGCTTTTGTGATAAATCGCTTAATCAACTTCATTCTGATTTTAATTAATAATAAGTAGATATTATGTTGATTCTCGTGAAGCAAGGGAGGAGTATCGCACACATCCTTCTAGTAAAACCAACGTTTTAAATCCCTTGACACGTTAGGGTTTCGAGAAAGACATGACATTAGGAAAATATCCCACAAAATAATTCTGTTCAATTCGAATGTGTAGTTCGTGGAAGAATACCAATTCTTTATTCGAGGGGAACAAATGCTAGTCCATTAATTTTCCTCTTTAGAAAACCGAAGCCGAATTAGTTTATTTTATTTTGTTTTCTTTCAACAAGTCGATTTGATTTGGAAAAGTGGACTGGAATCCATGGTGATGGCTTCAACTTTTTTTTATACATTGACGATTCCATTTGAAATAAATAATGATAATATCAATAATGGTCCCGAAATGTCAGAATTGGCTTTCACATCCCAGTATTATTCACATTTTATCATCAGTGTAAGCCTTACTTTGCTTCGTCATTCACAGATAAATGGATAGAAAGAGTGATTTTTACACAATTATTCTTTTTCGCTTCTTTTTTCTTTCTTCTAATTACATACAATTAAAACTTACAATCGTTCAGTGTAAATAAAAAGAAGATTTTGAGAGTACATTTTTATTCCAAAATAAGAATAATGTTTATGTAGTACTTAGATTTCTTCCTGAAATCTCCAAAGAAAAGATATTCCTTTTCCGGAGATTAATCCCACTTTAACATGAAAAATGTGCGTACAATATTTCTCTACTTGAGATTGATAGTATAAATTTATAAAATGTAATCATGATAATAAAGTAATAATATTATCACTACAATAACGTAACAATGATAATGGTTTTTGGAAAGTTGCCAAATTATTTTGTCAACTCATCCTCAGAAGTCACCATCTTTGATTTGAATCACGAAATTATATGGAAAGCTTCTCAAGTTTTCCATTCTTGTGCATTCTGATCTCGTTTTCCAATTGCAAACGACACTCCCATGTTTATGCATGCTGCACAAGGTAGTGATCACATCATGTTTACTTTCTTTCTTCTTTATTTTTAAAAAAAATTTTCTTTGAAAGGGAAGAAAACGAGGGAGGGGGTTGGGAAAGATGAGTCAGGATAAAGTATTTTTTTCATTGTACATGTAAGGCATATTTCACAGGAGATTTTTTTTATTTATAGAATTTGAGTCTGAAATCTAAAAAATAAATTAAAAATTTACTCAAAATACTCTTTCTTTAGATTAAAAAAAAAATTACTTCATAATGTACATTAAACAAAGACGCGGAAACTCTCTCCTTATTCAATTGATGCAGATTACTGACTGAATAAGTTTCTTATGCAATTTGTTTTGTGGAAAAATTAAAACCCTCACCAACGAAGGCGTCAAAAAGACATTTACCAGAAACCACCATTACCTAACAAAGTAACTTTAATTCCACAAGCAAAGAACTATGCTTTGTCTAAGTCTATACATCCCTTTACTTGTAATTTTGATAATTCTTAGAACTTTTTTCAGCTGGGACTGTACCAAAATTATAGCACACGCAGATGTAGTAGTTTAGGAGGAATTGATGAATGTGATTTTTCTTGATTAATTTCGGGAACTAAAAGCATTTCCAACCAAGTGCTGTAAACATCGGAGTTCTCCAACAGGAATCCCTAAACATAACTTGATTTTTCTTCGCACAACTTATAAAAATACTAAAATATCTTTAACCTTAAACCTTGCTGCCTTTCATTTTTATATGATTATCTCTCTTTTTATCATTTATCAAAAAAAAAATTTTAAACATACAGTCAAAACATTCATTGATTATTGATAGTTTGCAATGAAAGAGAACCTAACAACACGAAAAATAGGAAAAAATGAAGTATCAGCGTCCCAACAAGTAATTGGTTGGGAGAATTATTTGTAATGAGACACACTTGTCTATCAATTTTTATCTTTAGCTCTGCCTTTCGTTCTTTTTAAAGTAAAGTAAGTTTAAAAATGCAAGACATTAATATCTAAAGAAGAAACAAGTGTGCTTATGATGAAATTAAAATATCTTTCGTTTCTTTTGGAATTAGTATTACTTTGATTTGGTTTCGTTATGTTAAATATAATTACATTTAAAACTCAGCTTTATGTAAGTATTTTTAAGTTTTATGTTAGTATTTTAAGTATTTGTGAATGCATTTCCCCTGGCCTTGATGATATTACAAGGGGAAAAAAGGAAATCTTTGTCATAGAATTAGTGTTAAGTTTGAATTTTTGTTAAAATTTATACTGCAACTGAAAAGCTAAATTGTAAAATCATTTCGTACAGATGGACAAATGGAATATATTTTAAAAAGTAATGATAGAGATAGTGACTAATTATAATAAAAATGCATAGTAACACCATACTTACTAAATATATTACTTGTTAATTAAGGATAAAAATATAATTTTATGGGAAGGATATAATTTCAATGGTTAAGTAACTAAAAAATAGGGGGCCATAATTACTCCGCATCAGTCACTATATTTTGTCGCTATTTTTCCTTTTCATTATGTATATCATTTTCCATATTTTAAGTAAAGCTTGATCTTGCGCTCCTAGGAAATCTTTGAAATTTGTAGAGCTTCAAGTCTTCCAGTTCCTGATAATTTGGATAGTTTTGTAGAAATTAGGTTTTGGTAAAGACGTTAATAGGGTATGTTTGTTTCGTTTTTTTAGTATGTGTTTTTATGTATTTTTTCTATTGAGAATGTAAAATGGTGTATTCGAAATATAAAAAAGTATGCTGGGATGGGACAGTTATTATTATTTAATTCTGAAAAAAACCAGAAAACAAACAAAACTTTCAGCGACAAATTACAAAGGAAGTCCGGAGTAGTTCATTTAATTGGCCCATGTGGAAAGTGTTTCACAATTTTAACTTGGAATTAGATGGACCAGCCAAAATTTTGGTGTTGTTATATTTGGGCTTGGCTACTTCCCGAAGCTATGTAAATTGGGAGCTTACTTCAGGTTAGCATGGTGAAATAAACATATAATGCAAATTTTAGGCCCATCAGCAAACAGGTTCGTTGCCATTGATTCTTTTTGTTAGCAACGTTTGCCTTTTATGTTCCAATCATTTCTTTAAGGCTAAAATGATGAATCATCTTAGCAGGGGTTGAACTTGTACCCTAGAAATAATCTCACAAAGAATAAAAATGAACTGATGTTATAACTAATTTAGACATCTTCGAATTTTGAGCTTTCATGATACAAAGGCTTTTGAGACGGTACAAATATGAAAACTCAATGTTAGACTATTTTTTTTTAAGACAAAGAAAGTAAGGGAAACACCTAATTAGGCATGTATCACACATTAACACAACTCATATAACACGGTAAAATTCAGCTATTCGATGAATCAGCATTACCGCACAGTTAATCAGTTAATCCTGCTGGCACCAGGATAAACACGAGGTGTAAAAATCCTTGTCAGACACAAAAATCTAGCTCAACCTCTGATCCGTTCTCTCTACCGACCCCCACGCTCTCCTCCCTCTATCATCAGGTCACGCGCCGTGTGCAATACTTTTCCTTCCACCACGTAATCCACACCGTCCATTGGACGCGTGTGACAGTTCCGTTTTTCAAAAGCCGAAAGGTGTGTAAATTCTTGCTTCACCCCTCGCGCAACCCGATTCTATTAACAACTCCTCTTTTCAGGCTCTCTTCTCTCTCTCGCGGCTGTGTAGTGCGTTCTTTTTGCCCCTCATCTTGCGATCATCTGGAAGGAAGATGAAGGTTTTCGTGAAGACTCTCAAAGGAACTAGCTTCGAAATCGAAGTTAAGCCTGAGGATACGGTAATTCACTTGCCCCGCGCTCTGATCACAGTCGTTTTTGCTTTGTGATTGCGTTCGAATTTTTTAATTTTTTTTCCTAGAATTGAATTGATTTTTCAATTGTGCGTTTCGAGTAAACTTGATTGTGTTCGGTGTAAAATTGCACTTTGTGGCTTTGAATTTTAGAATTTGGGTTTGCGCTTTCCTTTGGCGGTTTTGTTGATTTATTTCGAGCGAAGCGTTCGCCGTCTTTTTTTTTTTTCGGTTTAGATTATGAAAATCAGTGGAGTTTATGGCATTGTTCTTCTTTCGAGAACTGGTTTTTCTTTGATTTAGAGTCTCTTTTCCCCGGGTTGAATTTTGGTGCTGAAGTGTTTAGTCGTTAAGATTGACTTGAGTTTATGGCATGGAGAACTGAAGCCTGGTTGCTGTTCCTTTAGTTAAATGGTTAATGTGGCTTGAATAACGAGATTTTGTTTGAGTCGATGATTAAAGCAAGAACATCTAAACGTTAATATATTGTTCACATCTTTCTTGTACTTCTTGTGAGATGATTTTTTGTTTGGGGGTGTTGGGGGCGGATATCGTGTGGCATTACATTTTGTATAGAGGCATTCGTAATGTTGTTCGATAGAAGTGAGATTATTTTTTCAGCTCATGAAACCAGAATTCGGCAATATGTTCACACTGATATTAAGCTGGTTCGTAGATTTTGATTTCATTTGTCATTATCAATAGGCCAATGAGGCATTTCCATGTATTTATTATTTCTTTCACCCTTTGCGTTTTCATTCTCTGTTGCTAGCATCTTGACTTGTATATATAGGTTGCCGGATATAGCATAGGTTGTTAAGGTTGTTTTTCACTTTGAACTGGAAATTTCTCTTCTGTGCATGTCTGTATTAGTTGTTTCATCTTGAATTCTTATTTAAGACCGTATGGCTTTAAAATGAATCTATGTATGCTTACAGGATACTGGGTTGCTCCTTTTGTTAATTGTAATTAAATTAATCTCTTAAACATATTTTACTTTCAGATTGCTGATGTGAAGAAAAACATAGAAACCATTCACGGTGATGCTTATCCTGCTGCCCAGCAGATGCTTATCCATAAGGGTGCGGTCATGAAAGACGGGACCACTTTGGAAGAAAACAAAGTTGCTGAGAGCAGTTTTATTGTCGTAATGTTATCCAAGGTAATGGTTCTTGTCTACTCCCTTCTTGTTATGTTCAGATTATGATTCTCCTAGTATTATGTCTCGCAGTGTTGGGTCTTTCTTTGGTCAGGAGAATGCTTTGCTTTACTTGTGTGCTAGTAAACATTTAGTCTGCACCAAGTCCTCTTTAGTCTTGTCTTGACTCTATATTTGATTATTCGCCTTAGTATGCTTACAATCCGGAAAGAAATGGAGTGTTATTTTGTGCTTATATTACTTTTAGTTATTTATGTGAGCAACATTATGAATCTGCTTTGTGATATTTTAATACCTGATTGATGTTTGTTTATTATTTGACTTATAGTGTTTGACGGAATTTATTGTTCTACGCCTTAAATTATCTAGACGAGAGCTGTTCTGGTGAGGGCTCAACATCAGCTATATGTTTGTTTTAATCAATGAGAAGTGAAATTACTTTGTCCTTCCTTTCGGAGTGATTTCACTTGTGCCTCATTTCTAATATCAGTTTATTTTGAGGAAAACTGAAATGGCATTTCCCTTCCTTTCTGAGCAATTTCGCTTGTGCCTAAAAAGACCTTTGACTATATTGAGTGTTCATTCAGCCAGTAAATGTAGTTGCTTTTATTCAGAAAACTTTTATAGCAAAATGAAAATCGTAAACATGAAGATGAAATCATAGCTGATATTGATTTTGACTGCCTCATCTGCCTTTTTGGTTGATGTTCTCTTTTTGGGGTTGAACATGTGGGTTGGGGTAAAGCCGGGAATGATCCAATAAAGTAAGCGACGTGCTATGATTTTAAGTTTGGAATTTGAGCTTTTAATGGAATAAGAGGCTTATCAGTACTCTAATGAGCCACAATAACAAACATTGCAAAGTTTTTGGTTAACTTGTTTAGACACTGATCAGATCATTGAAGAGCACACATATCTTTGATGGTGTGAATACGCACATCCTTTATGGTGTTGCAGACGCAACCCAAAGACGGTGTTGTTACTAATGATATGTCTAATATCTATTTGCTACTATGTACTAATCTTTTTGTTTTCAATCTTTGCAGGTACCACAATCGATTGTTCCTCCAGTTACAGGTCAAGCATCATCTGTCACTGCTGCTCCGGCAGCAGCACCTCCTCAACCTCCACCTCCTGCTGCTGCGATGTAAGCTTTTGTTTTTCAGTTAGTTTTCTAATGAAATTTCATAACCTTCATTGTCTTTGACAATACAAGTTTTTAGAAGTTTTTCCTGTGGTATCTTGTCTGAGGGTGTTTGGAATATCCTCTCCCTCTTTCCTTTCCATTGGTGATTCACTTATGTTTTCTTACTTCGTTTTGCTCCCAACTTTAGGCCTGCAACTGCGCCGGTTGGAGTTTCCATTCCATCGGTTACTGCAGGGTGAGTCTTTTACACGCTACTACATATTGCTTGGGAGAAAATGTTTGCTTCCCCTTATTCAGATAGAAACCAAATAAAGTTACTTTTGTAACACTCCTGGGCTTCACCAGGTCCGAAGCCAATGTCTATGGCCAAGCTGCATCTTCTTTGGTTGCTGGAAACAATCTTGAAGGAACTATTCAGCAGATACTTGATATGGGTGGAGGATCTTGGGATCGAGACACAGTTGTTAGAGCTCTCCGTGCTGCTTATAATAACCCTGAGAGAGCTGTTGAGTATTTGTATTCTGTAAGTCTCCCATATCTTGCTTACGTTCCTTCTGGTTTTGTAGCTATGATCTCTGTTTGTTTGGTTTGGGAACAATTGGGTCAAGAATCTTTTGTATTATACTATTATTACGGGGCACAGAAATCTACCACATTGCCGCTCTCACTCTCTTGACTTAAGGTGATGGGATATCGGGAGGGAACTTGAATGTAGACTCCTTATCTTCTTTCTCAATCCAGTTGGTCAAGTGTTTCTTCTTCTTCTTCCACCCTTCCTTTAATCTTCCTTTTCTGTTTGAATGATGTGCTATCGTATTTTGTGCGGGTTTAAGTTGACTATATTTCACTATTCACCTTAGAAACTTGATAATGGAAGTGTCAATGATTTTTCATTAGAGAATGTCTTAGTTTTTTAATGCTTTAGCCTGTTTGAGACAGTTGCTGGGGGTACTTTTAAAGAAACATCGTGAGTTTATGACTTGATGTTTATGCACTAATTTTATATCTCATATGAGCCCGATCTGACTGTCTTCAAATTTATATTTTAGGGTATCCCCGCGTCAGCTGAAACTGTAGCTATACCGAGCAGAGCTCCAGGGAATGCACAGTCGGCAGCTTCACCAGCTCAACCTCCACAAGTTGCACCACCTACAACTGCTTCTCCTGGGGGACCAAATATTAACCCATTAAACCTCTTTCCCCAGGTTAAATACGCAGCTAGTTGGTGGTCATTTTTATCACAACTGTTGAACTATTAGATATCACTCTTTCCTTTTTTGCAGGGAGTACCCAATGTGGCTTCAAATCCGGCAGGTGGGCGGCCTTTAGATTCTCTTCTTAACAGCAGCCAGGTATTGCTGTGTTTTTCTTCTGTTTCACGTTTGTCCATTTGTATGCTGCCTTTTGTTTTCTTTTCTTTCCTTTTGTTTCTCATCTGTGCATCGCCTTTTGTTTTAATGTGACTCTATCACTTTTTACAGTTTCGAGCATTGCGAGCGATGGTTCAGGCCAACCCTCAAATTTTGCAGGTTTCGTACAATCTTATCTAGTTTATAGAGCTTTTATGATCAAGCAATGGACTTATTCTTTTCTGCGTTTTCAGCCAATGCTTCAAGAGCTTGGGAAACAAAATCCTCAACTGGTGAGGCATATACAAGAGAATCAAGCAGACTTCCTACGCCTTCTTAACGAATCCCAGGAAGGAGGAGAGGGGTACTTTCTCGTATTAGACAACTTTACTTGATTATTGACAGAAGAAAATGGTCATCTTCTAATGATACTTATGCTTAAAATGATTTCAGGAATGACTTGATTAATCAGCTAATGGGTGGGGCAATGCCCCAAGCAATCCAAGTAACGCCCGAGGAACAAGAAGCCATAGGACGTGTGAGTTCTTTTCTTTTCTTTTCTTTTTCTTTTTCTTTTCCCTCTCTACTTCGAACCTTGAACAACTTTGGAAGCGTTTACTTACTATGTTAGATAATTTGGTGATATTCTTAGTTTACTGACCGCTAAGTGAGAGGATTGTTTACCTGATCTCAGTAAAAGATTTTCTACAGCTCACATGTAGTATTCTCATAGATGGTATTTTGGAGTTATAGTTGTTGCTATTGCTTTGATGAGATTGCTAGAAGGCTTTTTCATTAATGTGGTCTTTCTCTGTCTCTTACCAGCTTGAAGCGATGGGATTTGATCGAGCACTTGTGTTGGAGGTCTTCATTGCGTGTAACAAGAACGAGGAGCTGGCTGCTAACTATCTTTTAGATCACAGCCATGAGTTTGAGGAGTGACATTACAAGCTAATGTGGGTCTTCTCTCCCCTTCTCCCCCTCTCCCCAACTCCCCTTCTTCATCTTCGTGAACTCTTTGGCACTTGGTACATTCGTTCCCTTCTCATTGGAATCTTTGTGGTCCTTGTTGACAATTGGAGACGGACTTGGGAGCTTAGAAAATTTTACTAGTACTTTTGATTCGTAGCTGTCATACTCCTCCCCGGTCTATCATTTCTGTTGGTTTCGTTTCTCTTGGGTTTTACCCCATTGCTTGAAATGAAATGGCTCTTAGTAGGTAGCAAGCAATTGTCCCAAAGTTGGGGAAATTGTTGGTATTGGTTTCAGTCTTTCAGTAGCTTGTTAAATGTTAAGTCACTGTGTCGGAGAAAAATTAACACAAACCACCTGACCCAAAGGAGTCACCTATTCATGTACAATCTAACCTATATAGTTCTAAGTTACCACAAATTAAGAGAAATCTAGGAAAAATTGTTATGATGAACATCAATCAGTTCTTTTTCAGCCTCAAAGGATTCTGTGTTTTTTGACATTAAGATACAGAAAATGATAATGCATTGTAGAATTCAAACATGTAAATCATGTACCATACGGAGATAAAACAACAATCCAAACATGACTTAGAGAAAGGATAATGGTCGATAGCTGAATTCGTGGACTGCCTTTGAAGAGCGACACTGGACCATCCCCTCTCATTCCCTGCCAAACTATTTACAAGCACAGAATTTCACAAGAAAAATTCCTCACGGAACGGGTTGATCATTAGGGTCATATTATTAATAAAAATTATAATTTTTCCAATGTGAATCGAATCTTTGATCTTGTGAATGTAATGTAAGATTAATAATCTCCCGACATAAAGTCCTAAACATCCCACACTTAATCTTCCATCCGATCATTAGGGTCATATCATAGGCATTTCATCACACAAATCATTCCAACGATAGTGCCCTTGGAGAAGACACATTTCAGTTCTTAGTGGAGTCCTTGTTCCAATTAATTAACCCTTTGCTTCTTTTCTTTTTTTTTCTTATTTATTGGCTCCCCAATCCCCATCAAGCAATGTGATTGTGATTTACTGGTCTTTGCATAACAAAGATAATCACATCCCGAAAGTTAACTTTGCAACCTCAAATTTCTGGAAGAAAGAAAATTAGGATGGTGTCTGTGTCACCGTGTCACATTATTTTATTTGTGACAGTTTCCTATTCAGAATGATCCTCACGTATATATAATAGTCTTCAAATCGGACCACTTAATCGCCTGTTGAAATCAGTCCTCCATTCAGTACCCCCAACCCAACCCAACTTTCTACGTGTATGCTATCCACACTTTGGTATGTGGCTTTTCCGTACAGTTCATTCCCGCATGCGAAACATATATGGTCGATCAAGATTTGTTCTAAAGATGGAAGTTCAACTCACGGTTTTGCAAAATTAAGAATGCTTTTAGAAACATGATATATGATCGGGCTGGGTTTCCTTACTTTCCCAACATTATTGGCTTCTTCTTTTTTAACTTTTTGACACATGCTCAGTTTTCATGATTAAGTGATCATTGTGAAGAACATCAATTCAAATGACGTCTTGGTTTTATGAGACCATATAATTCTATAAAGATGAAGGCTTATATACGTTTCAATTATGCAGAGAAGATGTCATATATGCTACAAATTATCTATTCCTTTTATTATGTATAACATTTCACAAATAATCTTCTTCAATGAGTTGAAACCCTTAAAGGAACGGGCTATCTATACCAACTTAAATGCCACCCATTAATTACACCATAGTGAGGGAAAAATATCTTTTTTTTTATACAATCACACATGTTATGTTATTCTGTTAATAGTATACTAAAAGGTCATTTATATCGAGCTCTTATAAATATTATTATCACTACAATTATAAATTTGTAACGATTGCTTGCATACAATTTAGCGAGAAAAAAAGATCTCATTGGTTTCGATATGCAACAATTTTCAGTCACAAGCGTTGTCATAACTCATAATCATTGATGGAGAGATAGATAGGGATTTCCACACTTGTGACCAAAGAAAGAGTCCTATTTCAATGACTAAGGTACGCACTGTTTCTATCTGCAACGCAAAACCATGCGTTTAAGGACATAAGACAAAAACTAGAAATTTGGATGGATTTTATGGTGCTTTTTGAGTCCTGCTTGTGTCATCTCTGGCGTCATATGCAGTAGGCACACGACAATATCAAGTGCAATTCTTGGCACAGTATTAGCAAGGGGGAGAAAAGAAAAAAAGAAAAAAAAAAAAAAAGCTGCAAATTTTTGTCACCATTTTTTTGTTGGTTGTAAACCCCTTTTTCTTGAAAAATCCTTATCTTTTCTCCACATCAGATTTGAAGATGGCTAATGGCCAGAATGTTCTGTGATTATCACCAATTTCCCGTCCAATAAACCATATTATTGCACGTAGCGTCTATATGATTGTGTTGTGGATTCGAAGAAGAAGATATCGTCCGCACCATTTTATATATATATATATATAGAATCACAAAAGTGAAATAAAAAAGTATGCTTCCTCTGCCGCATTATATATTTTCTTTGCAAGATTGACGAGTTCGAATTACAATATATACTAGTAATAAATTGAACAACTTAAATTGGGACAAAGAATTTTTTTTTTTCTCCCCGTTAAGGGAAAAAATACATATACTTGAAAACTAAAGACAATACTTTATTCAAGAAAAAAAAAAAAAGAAAAGAAAACCCCAAATGGAGAATCGGCAATATTAAATTCAGAAGTCTCTCGACAACCAAGTAAGTTATAGATATATGGTTTGTGTTCTTGGATCTGAACATGTGGTTTTGGATTATGTTCCTGGTCTCACATACCTTTAGCTAGGAAGTACAATTTGAACAGAAATTCGATACCTGAAATATAAAAATAATTTCTGTATACTTTAATTTGGAAGAAAATCATAGCACCATGTCTATTATATTGTTATATTTCAATAAACATGCACTTCTTTGGGGAGAGGCGGAGGAAATTATTAAGACAATACATGTGCATGATTATTAATTTATTAGGTCGCAGAGAATCTTCTTAACTCTAAAGTGTCAAAAATGTACGTGCAATCTTCATCAATGCAGTATTAGATATAGCCATCGGTTCTATAATGCGACACTCACATATTATGAACCGGTTGGCTTCGAGATCTGTTTTTTAAATCCATCAAAAAAGGCTAAAGAGAAATTCCGAATAATGAACAAAATTATTTTCAGCCTGTCATGAAATGGTAATATATAAGACAATGTAGAAAAATTTACGTGTTTTGCTTTGTGGAGTTCTGATTTCATGTTATTCCTAAGGCCAAAAAAAAAAAAAACCGATTGAAATTATAATTCAGTGATAAGTTACTCTTACTGTTATGACTTATGAGAAGAGATTTTGGGTTCATTTCATGTCTTTTGTCCATGTACATCTAAATAGGTTTTTTTTTTTTTTTTTTTTCTAAAATCTGGTTTTAATTATTAAAAAAGAAAAGAAAGGAAAAGGCCAAAAGGAACGAACTAATCGGTGGCAAGTAGTTTAATAGTAGTAGAATTATTAAATTCTCAAGTGGCTATCAAATCATTTAACTTTGCTATCAATCATTTGTGTCATTGAGTTCAACATTATGAAAAGCCAGACACTTTAAGGGGGTTGTTTGTAATTAAATCAAAAAAGAAGAGAAATTTTTTTCCTTTACCACTTACTGCGGTTCAAACTTGAATGACAAATCCTATAAATACAGGAGTGCCACTTATTTTCCTTTACCACTTATTCAGTTCATCAAAACCACTAAAACATTGAACAGGATGGCAAAAGAATTAGAGAAGAATTCTGGCCGCCAAGTTGAAAGGATGAAGGGTGGAGTAGTCACTATGCCTTTCATTTTTGGTAAGCTTATAGCTATGACTCTTTAAATTCCATTTCGCTCACACCGAATGATTATTTTATTTGTGCACCGCAAGTGTGACATATTATTTCTTCATCAAGAAAACTTCAAAGCATCAAGTTTGCATTAAAGGGTTTTTCCAGATTTTTCCTTCTAAATATGTTTGATTCGTGATGCAGCCAATGAAATATGTGAAAAGTTGGCAGTGGTGGGATTTGGCACAAACATGATCAGCTACTTGACAAAGCAGCTGAACATGCCACTGACTCAAGCAGCTAATACTCTCACAAACTTCTCTGGAACTGCCAGCCTTACTCCATTACTTGGAGCTTTCTTAGCTGATTCATTTGCTGGAAGGTTTTGGACCATCACTGTTGCTTCAATCATTTATCAAATAGTAAGACAATAAGAGTGTACCCTTTGTTCTTCAATTCACTGATCAGCTTTGATTTGATTGAGTGTCTTAGGATTTATTGTTCACTGTTCCATGCAATAATGTTTGCCAACTGTCACAAAGAAAGAAAAATAGATCACCTTTTTTACCACCTGCCATAAAATAAAAAAAAAAAAAAACCAATTTGAAAATGAGTAAGATTAAGCAATGTGATAGTAATTAATGCCAAGTGCCTCTATCTTGAAAGTCACGAGTTCGAATTTCACCATCTGTTGTCTTTCACTTTCACTTACTGAGGTTCCGAGAGAAGGAACAAAAAAAATTCTATTAGTCTAACATGGTTTCTATTTTGCATGGTGATTTTTCAGGGAATGGTTAGTTTGACATTATCAGCTATACTACCAAAACTGAGGCCTCCACCATGTGAACCAAATCAAGCTGTGTGCCAACAAGCCAATTCAGGCCAACTTGCCATCCTTTACATTTCTCTTTTACTAACTGCAATAGGGGCTGGAGGGATAAGGCCCTGTGTGGTGTCATTTGGTGCAGATCAGTTTGATGAGACTGACCCAAAGCAGAAAACCAAGACATGGAAGTTCTTCAACTGGTACTATTTCTGCATGGGAGCTTCAATGCTTGTAGCTGTCACAGTGATAGTTTGGATCCAAGATTATGTGGGTTGGGGTTGGGGACTTGGGATCCCCACCATTGCTATGGCAATCTCAATTGTGGCCTTCATATTTGGTTACCCTTTGTATAGAAAATTGGACCCAGCTGGAAGCCCTTTCACCAGATTGGTTCAGGTATGTGTGGCTGCCTTTAGGAAAAGAAACCTGACTATGGTTTCTGATGCTGGATTGCTTTATCAAAATGCTGAGCTTGATGCTGGTATCTCTCTTGGTGGAACCCTTACCCATACTCACCATATGCAGTAAGTGACTATACCTTCATCCTTCTAATTTTCTTTTTAGAAACCAACCATCAAACAGTTTATGCAAGTTTTAATATCAAACAGTAACATGTGCTTCAATGTACAAAACAATTCGAATCTTACTCTCTTATTGAAAAAACGAAGTAGTGTAATACTATAATGGTGTTGAAGTGTCAGAGAAATCAATATGAGTCAATCATGGTTTGGTTTTCATTTGGTTTAATATTCTTTCCATCTCAAAATTAATATCCAGTTTGGATTTTCATTTTTAGTTCAATTTGTACTAAAATTAAAAATCTAAACTGTACAATTAGGATGGAACATGTATCATTTATACACTTCCAGTAATTACATTAGTTTTGCACTTTGATAAAACAAAAGGTTTATTTGCTTATTTTGGTAGATAATAATGAAGTTGTGAACAAAAAAAAGTCGTAAGAGCAGCAATAAGATGGTGACCTTTGTTAGAGCTTTTCAAGGTTTTTGGTACGAAAAGATCCCAAAGTTGAGGCCTTTCTTCAAATGTGTGGTTACGACTTCTCAATCACTCACTATCACCATCACATGATTGGTATAACCATAACATATTTTTAAAACCTTTTATGATTTGGATGCAAAATTCAAATCCAATATTTTTGGGAGGAATCATACACTTCTATTTCCAAAAGAGTAGGTAGCATTACACTTTAGATTACAGCTTTTATGGTTCCTAAACAAGCATTTTATACTTTTCCTCTCTTGAAATCATTGTACAGTTCAAATTCATTCTAAGTATAAATTAAATTAAAAGTAAAAATTTAAATTGAATTATAATTTTGAGACATAAAAAATATTAAATTTTACTTGTAAATATTGTACTCTCACCGAATCTACGAAATTATATAAGTTTCTAAATGCAATACATTTAGTCAATCGTCACTAAATCACCTTGAGAGATAAATTCTTAGATTATGCACAATGTAGAATTCAGATACTTTCCATGTGATGTTTCACGTGTTAACTTATCGATCTCTATCTCTCGAGAAAATTATGTCTATATTTATAAATATAGCAACTGCACTAAATTTTTGTAAATTGCTAACTATAGAAAAACTGATGATCATACATTTTCTTGTTTGGAACTGAAAGTAATGATGAAGGAATTATGTCAGCCAAAAAAAAAATTGTTGTTACCAATTTAATTTTGTGAATGATATAAATATACTATATTATTACTTACACATATTTGTTTTTGTGAATCAGATTTTTGGACAAGGCGGCAATTGTGACAGAAGAAGACAATCCAAAAGCCCCAAACCCATGGAGGCTAAACACAGTCCATCGGGTGGAAGAGCTAAAATCCGTAATCCGGATGGGCCCAATATGGGCCGCGGGAATACTCCTCATCACAGCGGCAGCCCAACAAAACACGTTTTCCCTCCAACAAGCAAAAACTATGAACCGACACCTAACCAAATCCTTCCAAATTCCCGCCGGATCAATGAACGTCTTCAACTTAGGCTCAATGCTCTTCACCATTATCTTCTACGACCGATTTTTCGTCCCGATAATTCGCCGGTTCACGGGGCTAGAACGCGGCATCACGTTCCTTCGCCGGATGGGAATCGGGTTTTTCATCTCGATTCTAGCCACATTGGTAGCCGGATTCGCGGAAATGAAGCGAAAACAGGCGGCTTTCGAGCACGGGTTAGAGGACAAACCACAGGAAACCATCCCGATTTCGGTATTCTGGCTAGTGCCACAATACAGCCTTCATGGAATTGCTGAGGCATTTATGTCAATTGGGCACTTGGAATTTTTCTATGATCAAAGTCCGGAAAGCATGAGGAGCACCGCCACGGCGTTGTTTTGGTTGTCGATCTCGGCCGGAAGTTATACGAGTACGCTTTTGGTGTCGATTATTCACAAGTTTAGTGCCCGGCCGGATGGATCGAACTGGCTGCCGGACAATAACCTGAACCGGGGAAATTGGAGTACTTTTATTGGTTGATCACGTTGTTACAAGTTGCTAACCTGATATATTACTTGTTGTGTGCTAAGTTTTACACTTTCAAGCCCATTCAGATCCATTCTCATCAAGAAATTGATGAAAAGGAAGGCGGGATTGAACTCTCCAACCATGTTTAGATAAAAAAAAAAAAAAAAAAAAAAAAAAACAGGGTTCTTCCATCTTAATATTGTACATCAACAATGTATTCTAATTATATTTGGATAAATCATAAAAGCCTCTTTTTTTGCAAAATAAAATAGTTTTGATTTCAACGTTGAGAGTAAATAGCTCATGGTTGTTAGTTGTTACTCTCACTGTTCCATCAAAACGTAGTCTATTTTGTTAATCTAGAAAATAATCCATGTAAGAGGGATTGAGGTAGTGTAAATATTTGATGTTCACAGTTATTGTTAGTATGTACTATTAGGCAATTAAATTATTGATGGAAAATTTTGCTATGTTTTCAATTCAGTCCAAAAATCAAGAAAATCAGAAGGTACCACGAAATTTAAATGCCCATACGAACAAGTGTTTGCATTTTGCAACAAATAGAGACGTCTAACAAACAATTATGGTATTGGAGGTCAAAGTTTTATATCTTCTCATTAATATTAATATCAAGACGTGACGCAAGTGATTTCTCTCTTGTAGTCATTAACATCATTTTGGAATGACAGAAGACACTCTAATTTTGGATTTCTGCATTATTATTCATTCCAATAAATACTTTTTAGAAAAAATATATTTCCATGCATTATTTGGCTTTAAAAACCAAACTAGAACGAGAAGCAAATTACAATTTGAAGAAAATCAATAAAAGAAAGAAACTGAATGGGAATAATCTCTAAAAATTACATTGTGATTGACTGATCTCAAAGCAAAAGGTAAATATCCTATCTATCAAAGGACATGGTAAAACTCAGAAAATCTTCTTGTTGGAAAGGAGGAGGAGAGGAGAGGAGAATATTCTAGGCAAAAAGACCAGTCAACGACCACGACACGTTTAAGCACAACCGTCAACGGCTCGAAACAAGTCAGTTAAATAACGACCTCTGGCGCCAAATCAGAGTAATAATAAGAATAGGAAACGACTTAACCCTTAAAACTTTTGTCGTCGGTTCATCTTCCTTATATTTTCCGAAAGTCGGTTTGATAACAATAATCATTACCCCGTATTACTCCCATATATTTCCAAAAGTTTTTGTAGTAGGCATAATAAGATAATGGCAGTTTTCTAGATAGACCGCAATCTCAGCAGACTCCCATAAACCATGGCCCCCAACTTCCATTCTTTCCTAAATTCAATCGAAAGACACTGCAGAACCAAGTATGAATCTGATTTCATCATTACCTTTTTTTTTTTTTTTCTCTTTCTTAATAATGTTTCGTTTTTGTTGTTTTTGTTTAAGAAATTTGTAATTGAATGTTTGTTTTGATTATTGAAACGTGGGATCTTTTTTGTTTTGGTTGTTTTATTTTTTTTTTTTTTCTTCTTGTTGATACTTATTGAAGAGAAAAGACCAAGAAAGTGGAAGTTGTAACATCATCATCAGGGAGCCCTAGTATTGGAAGAGGAAGAGGAAGAATGATGAATGCAATGGATGAAGATGATTTTGAAGACGCGGTTTCAACTGGGACGCCTTTATCGGCCATTGCAGAGGCTTTTGAGGATCTATCTGACTTGGTGAAATCAAGGGGTGGCATGAAGTTTGATATGGATTTGAAGTCCTTGTGTGATGCCAGTTCCCTTGTTTCTGTCCTCTTTGGTTGCTTGGGCATTGCCTTCAAATTTGCCGAGATGGAATATATTGCCAAGGTTAGTAGTATTTCTCATTGTTCCTGTCTTTTCCGGATCTTCTTTTTTCCAATGTGAAAATTCGGTTGACTGCAGAATTTTGTTGGGGGAAAAAGGTGAATTTTGATCTGTATCTTTTGCTTTTCGATGAATTAACATTAATGGATCCAATGATTTGGTTCAGTTACGGGATCTTGAGGATGCATCCGAGACTTATGGGACTCTGTCAAACATAATCGATACTGATCTTGAAACTCACACGGTGAAAAGTCCTGGAAGCCTCTCGCGTAAATTAAGGAGGGTTAGACAGGGCCTTGATCTTGTTAGAGCCATCTTTCAGAACTTTTTGTCACCAGAGTACGTTTTTTTTTTTTTTGTTTTCGCTCTACTGCATTGTCAGGTTGACATTTTCCCTAGACAACTAGCTGATATTTCTGTTGTTTCCTGTTCCAGATTTTGTTCTCTGAAAGAAGCAGCTTCAGTAGCTTATGGGAAAGTTTGTGCGCCGTATCACACATGGCCAGTAAGGACTGCTGTTTCGGCCGGGATGTGTGCCTTGCCAACAAGGGATCAACTTCTGGAGAGGCTAAATGAAACGGGTGAGTTTTTTTCTCTGTTCTCTTGTGCGCGTACTTCTGTTGGTTAGCATTTATATTGTGGAACCAAATCTTGATGAAAGTTATTATCACAGATGAATCGGCAGAGAAAGCAATGAGAAGATACATAAAGGCCTCTAGTCCAGTTATAGAGTACATTGACATGCTGTATACTTCGCGAAACATCAGTTTGGATTGGTGAGACGAGATCGTATTCCCCATTCACGGGGAAGTAGAACTCTCATTTTGGAGTAACTTTCAACCTTCTTCAAGCAATTATGCAGTGTAAAGCTGGTGAAACTTGATTATGACAGAAAGTTCTTTGAACATTAATGAGATAGATATAGTTGCCTTCAACCTTCTGTAATGCATCAATTTATCACTTCCAGTGTCAGTAAAGTTAGGGTTTAGTCTGGGTTGGCCAATGATCCTCTAGACAGAAACAGCAGATAGCCATAGCAGGATTAAGTTTGATTTTGTAGATACCTAGGGTTATGTAACTTGATATTATTCTTCCTTAAGAGATTAAGTGAAGAAGATTTTCCTTGTGGAGTTTGTTTTGTTTACATTAACTTTCTCTTCAGAATAATGTCAATATGTTATTATGAAGATTGGCAGAAGTGTAAAAATGTACTCTATAGCAGCAACATCACCAATGGGTGTAGCAGAAATTGTCCATTAAAACTCAAGGTACTATGATGTTTTGATACTTTCTCCCCAAAAATGCTCCTAGTGGATTAACCGCAACCCCACTAGCTAAATAGTATGAATAAAGTACAACAAACCAAACAATGCTGAAACTATTGAAATTCCTGCAAACCTTGTTGCCGACTGGGAAAATCAACAACTTCTCTTGGCGAACCTAAATATTGATCTACATGGTCAAGCTATCAGGATTCTCAATAATCTTGGAGAAGGTTTGTAAGAATGCAGCCAAGTCAGCACCATAGATGATCCTGTGATCAGCAGTAACATTCACCTAGAAGACGCCAAAATAACATCAGTCAAGAGGCTCAAACTCATACAGATGTGCACTTCATATGTTTTAATTAAGATCACAAATGATACTATAATCCACTTTTGAAGTAGGAAACGAGATAAACACGAGAGAATGAGACAGATAAACTCCATCGATTGAAAACTAAGTAGGTTGTATACAAAAACATATGGAGATGAAACAGAACATCGGAACTGCCTTAAAGGTGACCATGAAAAGGCAAAGTCATGATTTGAGAACAAACTACATACTTGACAGAACTACACCACATTCGTAAAACCAAAAAATAAATTTTAAAGAAAATTGATAAAAGTACAACCTCATCAATCATTAGAATATGACAATTTGAAGGAGCTGAATGAAAGTACAGCACTTAACTGTCATTCCTCTATTTAAGCCAATCCCACTCATTTGAACCCTAATTTACACGCTCTTATTCTTAACACAGTGATCACTCTTCACATTACTCAAAACAACTCTTTAAAAGATTTACACATACAGCAGATTATATTCTTAGCATTTTGGGACTACTCGGTACTCACGAATCCAATTCAACTTAGCAATTAATTTCTTTTCTGCAGTATGTGCCACTCCTGTCAATTTTACCACCATATGCCCCCTTGCAATGTTCAATACCATAGTTTTTTAAGGAGAATATAGGCAAACATTTATCTGTACATGCTAACACTACATCAATGCATTCATTTGATACAGAAACCACTTAAATTCTAAACTGGGGCGACATAACCAGAATTCCTAAAGCAGTCCTACTAAATTTAGTTTTTAAGCATTTCATTTCAATTATGGAGCAATTCGATGAATAAACATTGAAAAAGAAAACTGCAAAGAAAGAAGAGCAAAACTCACTTGCATCCTATTTTTAACACTGAAGAACCCATCTGCATCAGTTACAACTGTAGGCTTCGATGCACCAACTGCCATTATAGCACCCTGAAGATGTATGCAAACATGGAGTCACAGTCTCAAAACCAAACAAATTGCAGAATTAAATAACAGGTTAAATCCAACTTAGCTAACCTGGCCTGGGGGAAGAATTGCATCAAATCTGTCCACTCCAAACATGCCCAAATTTGATAGTGTGAATGTCCCTATTGGCAAAATCCATGTGAGTATTTCCATCAAACAATTCAAAATCCTTTAAGATCATTTTCAAGGAAACATAAGAAATGCAAGATCATTGAATACCTGAGTTATACTCTTGGGGCTGAAGCTGCTTTGATCTAGCCTTCTCTACCAATTCTTTCCATTTTTGTGACAATAAATAAAGATCCAACTACACAAGTACAGAGAAATACTAGCTTAATCACTAGTTTCATGATGAACATTAGCTCTAGTTTGAATATTGATAAACAAATCGCACTAACAGCGATATCTCTAGTAAAAAGCTTAACGGCTAGGTGTCATGTATCATACCTTATCCGCATCTTGAAGAACGGGGGTGATCAGCCCGCCGTTAATAGCCACAGCAACGGCAATATTTATGTTACTGTTGTATGTAAAACTCTTCCCATCTTTACAAGAAGAATTCACAACCGGGTGTTGAACTAAAGCCATGGCTGCAGCTTTGGCCAACAATGCAGTCATTGTAACACCCTTAGGCTTAACCTGTTTATTTTTCATCGAAATCACATCTACTAGTTCAATTCCAGTAACTCCAATCAACAAGAATCACCGAATTCTAAAAGCAATGTACAGGGATAAATAAAATTACCTTCTCGTAAAGGGCATCAAGTGCATCAGTAGATATGGGATATCCAACCCGAAATGTGGGCACAGAGAGACTCTCCACCATGTTCTTCGAAACCGCAGCCTGCATTGTTGTAAACGGCACAACGGTAGCCCCTGGAATCTCAGGGTAGCTAGTTGCTGCCGGTGCTTTCGCCGGAGCAGCAGCAGCTGCAGCAGGAGCCGGAGCAGGGGAGGCAGCTGGGGTAGAAGGCTTCGATGGTGCAATTCCAGCGGCTTTCTCCACATCCTCGGGCGTAATCCTACCGAAAGGCCCCGAACCAACAATCTTGTTAATATCCACTTTATGCTGTTTCGCCAACTTCTTGGCAAAGGGAGTCGCCACTATCTTCCTCGGCCCATCAGCGGGAGCTGGCGGAGGAGGCGGTGCTGCGGCCTTAGTCTCCGCTTTCGGCGCCGGTGGAGCCGGGGCGGCAGGGGCAGCTGAGGCGGCAGGCTGAGATTGAGACTGAGCTTTGGCTTTGGCTTCCGCAATTTCTTCCTCGGTCTCAGCCAAAAGCCCAATCGGGGCGCCAACAGGAGCCGATTCACCTTCGTTAACAACAATGGCGGCGAGAATCCCGTCGTAGAAAGTCTCGACGTCCATGTCGGCCTTATCGGATTCAACGACGACGACGGCCTCGCCCTTGGACAAAACGTCCCCTTCCGATTTAACCCAGGAAACGATTTTGCCCTCGGTCATGGTGGAACTGAGAGCCGGCATGAAGATCTCCCGGATCTTGGCTTGAACCGCCGGGATTGAATTGCGCTTACGCGGCGGCCTTGGAGGGAGGGAGGCAAGGCGTCTGATTTGGGCCGGCGTTGAGAGTGAGGAAGAGAATGAGAGGGAAGCCATTTGCTTTGATTCTTCGATTCCCCCGGCAACGTCGAATGAACAATTAGCCTTTCAAATGAAAGTGTGGGATTTTCAAATGTCAAGCTTCAATGGAGAAATTAAGGAAGAAGAAGAAAAGATTTCGGACGGAGAAGACGAGGAAGTGAGTTGGTTGATGTTAGCTTTGAGAAGTCCGGTGGTGAAGTGTAAACGGTAGGACCCCTTCTTTAATCGGACTAGTATTTGTTGTTCATTTCGGGATGTCAGTCAAGTTTATTGTTGAGCTGATTTTAGTGGCCCTGCCCTACAGTTTGAAAGCGTGGTGTACGCTTCGTGGAACGTTTTACGACTTCTGTGTGATTTTTAATATTGCCAAAGGCGGAGAAAGTATGAACATATATATGCGGTTCTACGAGGCCCTTTTTTCTTTTTTTTTAATCAAAGGTAAATTGTATTGCCTTTTGAATTGTACAGCCACCAAAGTTTCTTTACATCAAAAATTTACTGCTAACTATTTACATGTATTCTAAGTGATCTTAGAAATCTAATGTCATCATTGCTACTAAAACGACAGTGGCATTGAGACTTTCAAATTACCTCTTCAATAATAGCTAGTTTCCTCTCTTCAACTGTCGTTCTTTTCTTGGTAAACTTTCTTGCATTTCTTTCAGCCCATATGTGATATGTTGCAGCAGCAGTGGCAAACAAAAGCTTCTTTTGAACTGTCTAAACTTCCATATCTTAATCAACTTATTAGCCCAACTCTTGAGATTTTGAGGTCTGGTCTGTAGCCCAACTATTGCAGCAACAGTTGGATCAATTCCTCTGCAAAACTGCAGTCAAAGAATAGGTGATCACCATCATCCTTTGATTCTACACACAATTCACAGAATTCTTCTTTCTTGAGTAGCCCATTTTTCTAAGTCTGACTTGTGTCAAAAGTCTGTCTTGGAGAGCTAACTAGCAGATGAAATTTTGTTTTGGAACAGCATAAGAACTCCAGCTTAGTTGAAACTTCTTGTCTTTTGGTTTACTTCCTTTCATCCATTGGTAACCTCTTCTAGTGCTGTAAGGTAGACCTGCATTAACAACCCATTTCCCATCCTTGACTCCTTCTTTTAGTTGATCTCTTATTTGCATTAGTTTCTTCCAATATCATCCATAATCTACTGGTTGTTGGTATTCCCATAGTTCTTTACTCTTTTAAGTAGTAGATATGATACGAGGCCCTATTAAATCCTGTTTTATTTATTTATTTATTTATTTATTTTTATTATTTTTATTTTACGTATTTTATTTTTCTTTATTTAAAAAGAAAATCAATAGTGGTTCTCCACTTACTCCGGTGTAACTCGAACACGTGACCTATTGGTAACATATGAGGCATCTTACCACTAAGATGCACCTCGTTGCCCCCCTATTGAATCTTGCAGTTTACAAGAAACCAACAATAATCTCTCCTTCAATTTTCTCTGGGAATGAAAATTGATACTCCATTCGCACATTTTGATTTTTTGTGAATTTCATTAATATTTTATAATAATTAAAAGACAATAAAACATTGTTTTTGAGTTGTCGTTTGATCCCATGTTTATATTTCATTTAAAACTATTTTATAAAAATTAAAACACAATAAAATCCTGCTGTTGTTTGATAACCATGTTTACATTATTCATGACCACTACTCATTTTTCGTCCGAAATGAAATTTCATTTGGAAATGTTGGTTATGAACTTTGCTTATTACTGACTGATTTTTCGTCCGAAATCAAATTTTATTTGGAAACGTTGGTTATAAACTTTGCAAACGATTGTAAAAATTGTATGAGCTATAAGAATTGATGTAACACCCTGGGTTCACTTGTCTGTCTTAATTCTATTTTTTTTCATTAAATAAAGAAAACATGACAAACTAGCAAAACCTGGGTGTCCTCAGCACTTCAACTAAGTTTTCTCTAGAAACTTATGCATCTGACAAACTTTTTGTCTTCCTCTGCAATCCCGAGAGGGGATAAGTATGAGTAATAAAAAGGTGAGCGTCGTGCTCAGTGAGATTCCCACTAATACTACATATATATACTTTTATAAAATCAAAATAGGATAGGTACCCGAAAATTATTAAAACTTTATCAACTAAAATAATGTATCACAAAGACAAGTAATCAAGTAGTTTAAAATAATCAGAGCAAAAAATAGATACATATAAGATTACGAATCGTCAAGGAAAGGAGCTAGTCCAAGTGTCTATATAGCAAGCATGGCTAGATTCCTAACCCGACTGTATCCGTTAATTCCAGTTCAACACTAGGCCTTGGAATTCCAGTTTTTAGGAGGAGCGACCTTTACAATTGCATATAACAAATCCACCAATTACGCCAAGTCGCGATCGGATATCTCATGAGAATCTTAAACAGCTACTGTCAGCAACGGACATGATGAACCCCTCTATGCCAGCTCATGACACATTTTCTCAATCAATCGCCTCGGACCTTTATGCATGTACATATAAATACAAATACGTCTTATAGCCACAGACAGTCTCACATTTATGGAACAATCAAGACAGACAACAAGTTCACTCAACAAATACACCCTAAGGTGAATAAGACCACCTTTAGGATTTAGTAACAATATTCAAACATACTTTTAAAAATGTATTCATGTGTAGTGTCTTTTCAAATGTATCCACACTCTCAAGTTTTAAAATAATTCAAAAAGAGTGAGAATTACTCACAGGTGATGAGTCGAGGTCGTAACTGAGGTTTCTTCTGCAATGTATCAAAAAATCCTGAGGCATTAATCGAATATGATTACTTATACACGATTACTATTTTCTGCTAAGAGACTTTTACATTGTAAGTAAATCAATCATTGTCTTTAGTTTTAATGTCTATAATTATTTAATACATAAATATAGTAGAGTACTACTCTAATGTCAAATATTCCAAATACTCCTTCTTTTCTTGACCAATTAACCTAAATTAAGAACCACCAGTTATCAAGAATATCTAAGTTACACTTAATGACTAATTAGAATACCTCAGAAGAATACATGTCCATTAAGAAAGATACGAGCTAAGTTCAAAATAAAACATAGGTTAGCAAACCAGGAAATGCACTGCCAGATTTAGGGTTTTTTTCATCAATTAATATGTCCCAATCTGAGATGAGTCTCTATGCCTATTTTATACCGATAGAAAGATCTACAAGTCTAGTTTACAACTCATAAATAGGTTTTCCAATCGGAATTCTATACAGAGAGTTATGCCCAATTTAGCAAGACCGCCGTTTCTATCAGGGACAGCAACTATCTTCAGGTTTTGAATGTTTTTAATAAATTTACACATGAAATCCTATATTTAACTATTCTAAGAGTACCGCTATAATTCTGGAAGCATAAATACATTAATGCATGATATGAAGTACTATTTAACTCACAAACTTAAGGCACTAAATTAAAAGAACGGTTGTCCTAATTACCTCGCTAAACCAGGATTGCTTCCTCTACTATGTCCAAGGCTTCCTTTTGTTTTAGTCTCACGAACCTCACTTCCTTCCTTCTCTATCTTTCCCCCCATTTTCCTGGAGATTTTAGTTGTGAAGGAAAAGAGCTCACTCCCTTTATTTATTGTTAGCAATCTCCTATGTGCATCATCTATTTTTCTAGGCTTGTATGTAAGATTAGTCACCATTTTAGGTTGCAAATTTAGCAAGTATAACTTGGCTTGCTCAAAAGCATAAGGTGTCTCACCTATTTTTTTTCACCTTCCTACTTTACTCATTAATGAATAGTGTTCTAGCATATTTGGCAATCAACCAATGACTAATATAATGGCTAGTTTATATTAACTAAGGTAGAAAAATTATGAAGTTTTAGTTATATTCTTGTTCGGCACGTTATTGCCTCCCTTCTTCTTTCCCTTTTTTCATTTTTCTCCTTAAGAAATAATTAGTACTTTATGTGATTTATTTATTCGTTTGATTATTATTATTATTTTAGTACTATATCATTACAACTATAAATTAGTTTTTTTTTTTTTGGAAGAAAGTTGTTTATTTCATTCCAGTTGAATAAGAAACAGGTACAGACACTAATACTTGTCCAAAAGACTCAGAAATTATAAATATACAATTGCTGCAACTATTAAGTAACTAATTAGTAACTAGAAATCGCCACACAAAATTATCTCCATTTTCATTTGAACTGAGGGGAGATATTCATCTTGTTGCACCACACTCGGTTGTGCCTAGTATTCTTCATTTTACAAATTTTGGAGAGGTTCAGGTTCAAGGAAAACAAGATGTTCTTCATCAATTCTGCTTCATTCACCTTATCTTGGTGAAAAATGACGTGATTTCGCACCTCTCAAATGTAGTAAAATGTTGCTGCCACCACACCTTTAGTGATCCCATCTTTCACAAAGCTTGATTCATATTTCGATAGAATCTCCTCCCTAAGAGTCTGCCAATGGAAAGAAGAGACCTGTGCACCTACCAGTGCCAAGACTTTGGAGAGTATCTGTGTAGAGAATAGGCAATCAAAGAATATATGTCCAACAGTTTCCTCCTCCATCATGCACAAAGGACATCGGTTATCTATTGAAGGATCGTATTTGCTAATTTTCTCCCTGGTTTTCAATTTATCAAGACAGGCCAGCCAAACAATAAACCCATGTTTAGGAGTAATGAACTTACCCCAGGATAAAATGTACTCTGGTTGTCGATGATGCATCACGGCTAATGTAAGATATGTACCATGAGTGGAGAATGGTTCTCCCAAGCCAATCCATTCCAAGCCTTGCGAGGAGACATAGACACATTTTAAGGCATACTCTCTCAATTTCAGCAGCTTTTTAATTGGCCATGGAGTCGACTGCTTCACTTCTAGACTCCAAAAAGAACCATTCTTTATATAATATTCATGAATCTACTTCACCCAAGCACTTTTCGTGTTGAGCAATATATCCCAAATGAGGTTGAGAACCAAAGCAATATTAACAGCCCTAGAGTCTTTTAAACCCAGTCCCCCTGAAGTGAGGGGTTTGCAAACCTCACTCCAAGCAACCAAGGCTTTTTTGCTATCAGAATTACCAGACCATAAAAAAGATCTACAAAGAGCATCTATTGTTTTTATCACCTTTTTTGGGAGAATGAAAACCCTACACCAATAATTATGTAAGCTCTGAAGCACTGCTTTCACAAGGATGAGACGGCCTGCATATGATAAGAACCGTGTAGTCCAGCTTCTTATCCTCTCTATAATATTCTCAATAAGAGGTTGGCAATCTGTGATAGAGAGAGAGATTTGGAGCTAAGTGGCACACCAAGGTACTTCACTGGAAGAGTGTCTTCTTTTATCCCTAATATATTGCTTATATCCCGTCTGAGGTTCATGGTTGTTCCCCCAAAATATAAACAACTTTTTGACAAATTGGATACAAGTCCAGAAGCTTTAGCAAACTGCCTGAGTGTACCATCAATCAGGTTGATCGAAGTCACATCATCTTTTGAGAAGAGAAACAAGTCGTTAGTATAGGCCAGGTGAGTGAGTTTCGTTCTGTGGCATTTCGGATGGAATCTGAAACCCTTTTTGGAGGACATTATCCGAAGAGCTCTAGGTAAGTACTCCATAACAAGAGTGAAAAGGTAAGGGGACATGGGATCACCCTGTCGAATCCCTCGTTTGCCCGGAAAGTATCCAATGAGCTCACCATTTACTAGAACTGAGAATTGAGCTGTTGTCACACAAGTCATGATCCATTTGATAAATCTTAGAGGGAAGCCATAGTTGAAGAAAACTTCGTCTAAAAATCGCCAGGAGACTGAATCATAGGCCTTCTGCAAATCCACTTTGAAAACAGCTCTAGGGCTGACATTTTTCCTACCATATAGGTGCACAAGCTCTTGGGCCAGGAGAATGTTATGAGTAATGTTTCGCCCCGGTATAAAGGCCCCTTGTTCCTCACCAACAATGTCTCTTATCACCTGCTTTAGTCGGGCTGTAATGATGTTGGTTATGCACTTATAAACCATATTACAACAAGAGATCGGTCTGAAATCAGCAGCTGGATTTGGGCAAAAATTTTTTGGAACCAGAGTAATAATAGTAGCACTGTTGAGGGGACACTAATGGGCCATTTGTAGCTATCTTAGGATCCAAAGGGGGTGTTACATGGTATGATCCCAAAAGGTCCTGGTAGAATCTCAAAATCTCAGATTGGATTTCTAGAGGATCCGTGAGTCGCTTTCCATCCCTGTCATTTATACAGTTAATGGATCCTAAAGCCCTTTTCTGGCAAAGACAAGCATAAAAATAAGCTGAATTTTGATCTCCATCTAGACTCCATTTAATCTTGGATCTCTGTTGTAGGAACAACAGTTCATATCTAATGAGCTTGTGCAATTCTTCAGAAATTTGCAACTCTTGCATCATCAACCACGAATCAGAGGGATTTTGAAATAGCTCATTTTGAATGTCATGTAATCTGCATCTGGCTACATTGATTCTCTGAGCCAAAGACTTAGTCATTCTCCCATATATGTCTTTAAGCTTTATTTTCAGAGCTTTAATATTTCTTTGGAGCCCTAGAGGTCTGATTATGGAAGATTTGACAGCCATGAATCAGACACGGTAGGGATAAAGTCATCTTCATTTGTCCAAAAGTTGCAGAATCTAAACGGAGGATGAACGACCTTCTCAGGTAAGAGCTCCGCAATGCCTGGTGAGTGATCAGATACCCCTGGAGCAAGAAAAGAAGCATGTGCTTGCAAAGATGTCATCCAGCAACTGTTGACCAAGATTCTATCCAATTTAGAACATATTCTCGATCCAGTCTGATGCTTATTGGTCCAGGTAAAGAAGTTTCCTGAGTGAGGCAGGTCCGTGATATGATGCTTTGCCATAAAAGACTGTAGCTCAATTGTATTACCAGCTGTGACAGTTCTTCTATTAAGCCTTTTAGCAGCAGACGCTAAGCAGTTGAAATCACCCAAGATGATCCATTCAGAGTCGATAGAGTCAGAGAGGTCATTTAACTCAGCCCATAATGAAGCTCTTCCACCTTTAGAATTCAAGGCATACACAAAGGTAGCAAGTAACTGAAATCTACCAGAAACTATACTACAATGCATAAGCTGATCACTTCTCTGAATAACATGAAGATTTAACTTACTGGCATTCCACGAAAGAAGAATTCTACTATGTGGCTATAAGTCAAAATTACGTGCAAAAGACCACATTGGTTTGTTGCAACAATGTCCAGTGACTAAGTTAATATTATCTATATGCACCTTAGTTTCAAGTACAGCTAGTATATCTAAAGCATTAGACTTAATAAAATTTTTGATTTCAAACTGTTTTTCAAGGTCATTTAGACCCCTTATATTCCAGCTTGCAATCTTCATAAGATACTATAGATAATGGGAAACTAAGAAGAGGAGGTACCTCCATTCGGTTTCAACTTTCGCTGACTTCTTGGCCCTTTGGTGGAATGAGCAGGATTCTTAGCTTCTGGAGCTATAGATTCCCCAGGTGACCAATGGTTTCTCCTGCTTCTGAGCATCTCTGATGATGTTCTATGGATCCTTTAATGGTGGAGGCTTGATTCTCAGCTCCAGGAGCTATTAGGTTGAATGAATTCTTCTCTAACTAACCGATGGTTTCTTCAACAGTTCCTTTCTGAAGAAGAGGAATTGGTGTTATGCTTATCTTAGTCACTGGCTCATCTGAGAGTACTGACAGCTTACCAATGAGCTTAGCATTCCCCTTCCCCTTAGGTACCGATGCTGGATTAGCTTCTAGTTGAGATTTCGGTGAGACTTGGTTGGCCTCATTTACATCACGTAGCCTCTCATTTCTCTGGTGGATCTCGGTATTATCATGGGACGAATCATTCTCTAAAAGTATGATTTCCTTTGGTTCTTTAGGGAGCCATACTGGTTTAGGCTTTCTGCATTTCTCTATTGAATGCCCGAAACACTCACAATAGGTACATCTCGACGGAACCCATTCATATTCCACTTTCTGTGTAATTGCGACTCCACCCGGGCCCTTCAATTTGATCATATCAGGTAGCTCAGAGTGGGGATTAATTTCAACACAGATTCGGGCATAGCTTAGTCTTCCCTTTACTGCTGTTATCCCATCTGTGCAGATCGGTTTCCCAATCACACTTGCAATTTTGCTCAGAACAGATTGAGACCAGAGATGTATTTTTAGTAATGGTAGCTGTACCCAAATCGAAAAACTTGAGATTTTGTTCGGGTCAATATCCACCTCCGGCAACCAAGGTTGGAGAATCAGAGGAAAACTATAATAACTCCAAGGCCCAGCAACAAGAATTTCATCCATTTTATCTTTAGAATTGAACTTGAACAGAAATATACCCTTTTCAATCATGTGAGTAGTAACTGAATTCTCATTTCCCCAATTAATCTTTACGTACCTTTGAATTTTCTCTAGTGTAGGTTTATCGCCATAGACAAAACCCACCAAGCAGTGTTCCCACTCTTGAATGCCTGAGTTCCATTCTTCATCTTCAATATCCACTTCTTTGGAGGAGTACTATTGTGGGTAGAATTTCAAATCCAATCCCACTGCTCGTCGGCGATTGTTGGCAATTACATCTGCCCACGAATTGTGAGGGGCTTCATGGTTGGTCGTGCTTTGAGTCTCTGGGTTTTGGTTTGATTGTTGCAGCTCAGAAGGTGCCATGGAGATGGAGCGTAGGTGGTGGAGAAAGGAAACTTACGGTCGTTTACGGTGGTTGGCGCACGTTAGCCGTTAACTAAGGTGCGCCTGGGAGCATCTCTCTCTACCCTTTCTCTCTCTCTATACGGTTGTTTGACTATAAATTAGTTATTATGTGGTCTAAGTCAAAAATACTTTCTATATATATATATATATATATTAATCTATAATAGTAAAATAAGCTAAACTTGGGAGGTGTTACAATTGCGATGACCAAAACTCCAAATGATTCGAAAATAATGTAAAATAAGCTAAACCCTAGTTCTCAGCCACCACACAATATTTAGGGTTATATTTTTTTCGAAAACCCTAGTCACCAAAACTCCAAATGATTCGAAAATAATGTGCAAATAATTCAAATAAGGTAACCTTTGATATACCTCTATAAAGAAGATACTTTCCTTTAGAATGCACACTCTCAAATCTTCTTAAATAAGATAAGATTTAATATACCTTTGAAAAGAAGACCAAGATCCACTGTCTGTTGCAACCAATTGGGCAAGTTGCTGAATAAACAATTTCAACTGCTGCAAGTTGCCACATCCAATCTGTTGTAGAGAAGAAGGCCTAGATCTCAACCAATCCAAGCCTCCTCCAAATATAAATAGTTAGTCAATAGCAACTAGGAAACAAGCAGTTAGGGAAGTTAGAATCAGATTAAAAATAGAGTAGTTAGTTAGTTAGTTAATTGGATAAGAACAGAGTAGTAGCTGAGTTAGAGTGCAGACTGTCACTCGGGCAAGTGACGAAATTCACTCCCCCAAGTGAGCAGACAGAATCTGCCCAGCTACTACTCTCTTATCCTTTAACTCTTTTGGTACTCATCATGTCTAATCTTTGGTACTCAGTTGCTCTCATGTTTAGTTCAATAAACATGTAACTCAGTTAAGGGTGTAATCTCTACTATCTATATGCGAAGGTTTTGATTCAGTTTCTTACATAGAGCATTGTTCCTAGTTTAAGTGTTTTAATTAACCTTATAGTTAAATTGGCCACTTAGCTATTTGTACATGTATAATTATGGAATCATGAGAGGGTGAACATAGTTTTAGAAAGGTTTAAATTAGTCTATGCCAAAGGAGACAACTTTGACTGCAACCCTTTGGTTTCAATCATCAATGAGAGTTAGTTGATTGGCATAAGTGATCAATGAGGTTTAAGAACTTAATGGCTTGGAATAATGAATAATTATCACTGAAAGTTTGGTAATTTGGTTAATCTGAGGCTCTTTACTGGTAACGAAGGGGAAGATAAAGAATATAAGTTCCTGATCAAACAATATTTCATATGTAACAAGACTGAGATGAATCAAAACTTGATCATATAGATAGGAAGGTGATGACCCTTCTGCTTTCTCACTCCGTCAAGTGTCTATTCTCACTCTCCCAAGTGACAAACTACTCAACATATTTTCTTTTACTCGCACATCAATCAGATTTTAAGTGGTTCACTGTTGTCTCTATGGATCGACCCTATTTACTGACACTGTGGTCTTTGCGCGAAGTCGTACTTGTTACTTGAAAATTATATGTGCATGCGCCTGATTCACTTTTGATAATATTGCTTGCGTGTATGTGACATGAAAATATTTTTACAGGTTTCGCACGAAAATACTACGGCAAAAAGTTACACATTGTAATAATTAGTATGCTATAGCGAAAAATTGTAAAATAGAAGTTGGTTAGTCTTTAGTGTAAAGTCTTGATTATGTTTACTAAGATTTAAGTTAATTGTGTAAAATGTAATTTACATATTTATTTATTTATTTTCTTTGGTAATTATAGTGTGAGACCCGGCGAGAGTTGGACAGACGTTTCCAAAGCTCTTTAGTCAGGTTTAAACTGGTTGGTGCAATTTTGGAGACGTCACACTTATCACACTATTGTTTTTTTTTTTTTTGGGGACAATGTCGGTGTTTCTTTCCTCACTTTAATGCAATAAAATAGAAATGATAAAATCTAAAACGAGCCACCCGAAGCTTGCAAACGCGAAAAGATAGGCTTGCAACCTTACCTTGTTGTCCTTTCTCCAATTATATGTATGCATGCCCTCATATTTTTCATTTATACTTTGGTATTCTTATGTCTTATGAAACACATTAGAACGAAGTATAACGTGTAATAACCAATTGATATTTCTCAGTGATAATAATAATAATTATTATTAGTATTATTCTCTCCTGTCCGTAATATAAAGTATTTTGATTTTATCTTAAGTTTTACCTAATATGTATTTTTGATTAACGAAAAAATTTAAAAAATATATTTTCACATTTATTGTATTTTCTTGGTTGTTATGAAATATTTTTAAAGGTTTTTTGCTAATTAAAAATATGTACTAAGTTAAATTTAAGACAAATCAAAATGTCTTATATTAAGGACATGATGGAGTATTATTAATATGACAATATTAAAAGGATAATCATAGGTTTTGATAGCTATGGCATGGGAGCTACCAATCACTATTCTCCACTAGAATTAGCAAAAAGGGCGGCAAGTGGAGCTACCTATCACTATTCTCCACTAGGATGATCTTCTAGGTAAGTGGTATTTGGATAAATGTTTCTTCCCTTATATAAGATTTTTATAAAATTAGAAGCTTAGATTAGGATAGTGTGTATTTCATAGTGCATAGAAAATGTCATGTGGTTTTAACCTTTGTAAGACATTTTCTTAGTTCTTTAATTTCCTAACAGACGTAAAAGAGATGCCAAGGAATTGTAGAATATATTTGTAAGGCATCATCAGATAATTACAAACAGAGCTGTCATGGGATTAGTAGATAAATTTTTGTAAGATAGTTTTTTTTTGGTAAGTCTTAAGCACTGTCCGTGTACTCTTTTTGTAAAATATTAATAAAATCGGGATATGCCTGCCAAGTACTGTCTTGGTTCAGTTAAAAAAAAAAACAAGCTATTATTTTGTGTGGTTATATCTCTTTTGAGATAGCTATTTACCTATCTCTTTTTAATATATACTACCTCCGTCCCACAAAAATAGTTCACATTGAGTTTTTCAATTTATACTAAAAACAGTATAAAACTCAGAACTCAATGTAGACTACTCTCTCCGTCCCACAAAAATAGTCCAATTTCAAAAAGTACAACTTTTTAATTTTAATCAACCCAATCAAGGTACAACTCATTTTATACCACAAACTTCCATTTTTACCCTTATTTTCTTGTGGTGCTGCCGGAATCGTACGAAGTTAAGAGAACTAACCGAGAAAAGGAAAAGAAAATCCAATATCAAATGTCATTGGGACAAAAATTTTTACCCTCTCTGTTTGTGTATTACTACTGTAATCCAATTGAAAAGTAGGGGTTATTCCAACCAAAAAAAGAGCGGCATTGGGCGATGATTTGGGTGTTCTGGGGTTGAGGTTCCATGGGAACAAAATCAAGTAGAAAGATCTTTGAATCCATCATGGATAACAAGTCTTGGGGAAAAAAAAAAGAAAATATCTAACTGAAGAATTAAAAAGAAAATAAAGCAGAAGAGTGGTGGTGGTGGTGGACTTGGGCGATCCATCGTCCGATTTTTCAGCGCCGAAATATTTCCTCTTCACCGGAGAAGACATAAGCATCGCGCGTCAGTTGATTAGCGGTGGAGGTGGGGGTGGTGGCGGCGGCGATAGTCACGCTGGCGGCGGCGGCGGCAGAATGTGGGTTGAGGAGCTTGGTCGCATAGCGGATATAGGGTTCAATGGGCAGCTTTTAACTTGATAGTAAGGCTAAAGGGTACTCTAGTCATTTTAGTCCAATTTAATTTTGACTTTCTGAAACTGGACTTTTTTTGGGACTAAATTTTTTATTAGAGTGAACTATTTTTGTGGGACGAAGAGAGTATTTTTTTGGGACGAAAGGAGTAAAGGATTATCGCTTGATAACCAAAAAAAAAAGAAAGAAAAAAGAAAATAGGTGTGTATAGTTTTTCAATATTGGATTGAAACAGTGTAATGTTTAATAAGTTTAGTGTACTTATTTTCTATTTTGGACCAAAAGCATTACGAAAGGAAACTCAACAGTGTAGCTTGATGACTTGTTTTGTTTTAGGATGATTTTTTATTTTTTTGGTGAAACTAGAATATTTCACAAAAAGAGCCTTTACCGGATACAAATGAGCATTTCGTTTTTATAAATGAAAAAGGTAAACTAAAAATTATTTGAGGTTAAATACGAAATGAAAATAAAGGACCTTTTTTCCTAATCAAAAGTTCAAACTAGATTCGAAAATGTTCCCGCCCGCCAAAGAAACATATGGGGTCCAACTTAGCTGTTCATCATGTCGCTTGCATCAGCACCTCTTTTTTATTCTTGCTCTTTTTATAAGGAAAATAAAAACATTTCATTCGATATTTTCTTCACTGCCGATTGCCGGAGCTTCTGGAATTTAGATTCATTTCTTTTTTGAGTTTTTTTTTTTAAATTTTTTTCCGCAACAAGGTCAATGGAGATTGTGTTTAAACAGCTTAGTAATCTTCAAAAACAATTTTTTTTAAAAAAAAAAACTCAAAAACAAAATTGTGTGACCCCCTACAAAATTTACTAAAAGAAGCTATTCTCAAAAACAATCAAGCCCGTGTTTAGATAAAAACATTGCAAAAATATATTTAGTCTATGTTTCATAATTTGTTTAACTACATTTAATCGCTAGTATGTCAGAAGTAAGTCTCTACGGTGATCGGGGATCATATAAAAAAATTTCCGAACTACAAATTGCAATCCAAAACATTCTTAACACGGCCATAATTTTCACTTGCAAATGCAATAATATCATAATTCTTATAATAATGCCATATGTAAGACAATAAGATTGAAAGTCCGGATTGTCAATCAAATGACAACATGTTAAAAATACAAAAAAATAAAATAAAAATTTGCTTATTACTTTTGGGTGATAAAAAAAGTACTGTACAAATGAGGTGATGCGTCAAACTATGTCTAATTTCTAACAAAATATTTCGAGTACTTTCTCCACCCCAATAACGACTTCCCTTTATCGTATTGTTGTGAATTTTCATGACTATATACATATGTATTTATAATGGATGAAGCATGAACAAAATTTGTAACTAATTAGTACAATCATACTCATAAGAAGAATTGAATCAACACAGGTCTAATATAATTACATAAAAAAAATTCATTTATTTTCCATCAATTTATTGAGCTGCTTACGTGATAAAAAAAACAAAACTTGAGAACGCCACAAGATTAATAAAACCAAGAACTTTCAAAATGCCAAAGTAATCCAACTGGCAGAATAAAAAGGAACGGGTCTTCTCTGAAAAAAAATAATTTCAATAACCCGCCAAAGACGCGTACAAAATTATCCCACTTGACTCGTCCCCGGTTTCGATCTTCCGTACTCTCTCCACCTTTCTCTCCATAAACGACAACGATATTCTATGTAATTTATTCATTTTCTCATGGTCCTTATGGTAATTTGGGAGTCAAATTTATTCTCATTGGTTTTGGGCGCCTCTCTCTCTGTGCCTGAAAGTTTTCAATTTATTGTTGTTTATTCACTTTTCTATTTCGGAAATAAAGAATTTTATGATGAATAATTATTGGTTAGCCCCCGACCTTCCATGAAACTCTACAATGTACACCCCGAAATTAGAGCCCATCTGAAAATCACAAGTTAGCGTCAAATTTTCCCCTAATCCAATTAATTAACAATTAGTGTAATAATATGATTTATGAAATAGCTACATATACATTCAAATAATATTTTTGGATATATTTTTCTATCTTATTATTGAGAGTGAAGTACAAACAAAATTGTTACACAAAATATAATCATTTTTTTTTTGGTGGTAAGCAATGAAAATTTCAATAGCATAATTCGACTTCTTAATATCATCTATTGTTTATCTTGGTGTTTCCATATTCATTTTTAATGATTCAATTATATTCCTAGTAATGTACCAGTTTAATTCATTTCCTGTATCCAGTGTATTTGCTAGAAAAATCAAATAAAAAAAAAAGAATACTAATTCATAAATACGAAATGAAAATATTTGAAGGACTTATTGTGAAATATAGTCATTAACTTCCGCAGCAGCGCAATTTCCTACACAGTTTCTTCATCCCAATCTCATTACCTTCAATCCCAACCGTCCATCGAAACTCACCAAACCCTAGACCGCCACCTATAAATACCTCTGCGGAACATTAAAAATTCACGAAATATATCCGTTTTGTAAAAATTGAATAAAACTCTCCCTTCCCTGTTTTTTCACCTTCACACATCCTCTTCCTCAGCCTCATCCCTTCTTATTTTCTCACCTTAATTTTTGCAAACAGCAAAGAAAAATCAACCTCAATCCGGTGTTAGGCCATGGTGGAGTTTGACAGAGCCGCCAAAACGGCGTCGTCGCCCTACGAGAAGTGGGAGGAAGTTTACGTTTCAAATGATAAAGGGAACAGAGAAGTGCACTATTATTTGAAGAGAAGAAATGGGGGTGGTTTAGATCTGGCCTTGATTGGCAAAGAAAAAACTCTGCGGCATATGTCTTATCGTTACGCCTTTCAGGATAAAGAACGGTTCTTGCAGTTTAGTGTTTCGTCCCTTCCGAAGCTCAGGTCCAGGAGAGAAGTCATTGATTGGTTGAATTCAATTGTTAACGCAGGTATGTTTTGAATGAAAATATCGTTCTCCTGTTCATTTCCGAGAAATGGGTTTTTTTTTTTTTTTGAGGTCAAGAAAAGCAGCTCCTTCTCCATCTGTGGATTTGTTTTTTTTTTTTTGACGGAGTTGATATTTTTTGAGATTTTGTTGAATAATTTTTAGTCTCAAAACAAAAGGTTTCTTCCCATACTCTGCTTGCTTTTTCCTTTTTTCCCCCCAATTTTCCGGTGGCGAACAAAGATGTTCTCTTTATTTGTTTTTTTGGGGGGTTGGTTCAGTTCGGTTCGGTTCTTCCCCCGAGCTCTATTTCCTGGGAGGGATGGAATTAGGAATTGGAAGTTAATATTGGGATATTAATAACGGTAAGATGACCAATGATATCATTTCTGGTGGAGGTAAAAATAAGGTTGGTTGAGGATATAAATCTTAAATTTCAATTTTGGTTATCGTTGGAGATTAGGGTTGGTTTGTTTCTTAGCAGTGGCGAATTAAGGGCAGTTTTACCTGCCAACTCCAGCTTGTTGAATCTGATTTCTAGCCGTGGGTCTGTTTTTTTTGCCACAGTATTATGAAATATAAAATTTTGCTGGGTTGAGGCGTTGCCTGAATTTTCCGGAATAAAAAGTGAGATTGTTTTACTCCTTTAAATGTTGCCTTCTTTCTATTGGGAAAATTGGCTGTTGCTCGATTAGGTATTTCTCAAATTTCCTTGAATTCTGAATTGTTTGGTTGATTTGATTCCGTAGTCATTGTTTTTTTTTTTTTTTTTTTGGTGGTGTGTATATTATTGTCCAGACAAATCTGATCCTTTATTCTTTACTGTCTCTGTACAATTTTTATCCCTTGATTATTTGGAATTTGAGGACCTTTAAAGAAAATTTTTAGCCTGAAATGGGAATTTATTTGAACAGTTCTTGTTTAGGTATGAATCTTTTTGATAGTTATAAACTTAAAATTAATTCTTTGAACTTGTAAGCTCATTTCTTTCCATTCTTAATTTTGTTTTCCCTATCAACTTGTGAGTGCCTTAGTCTGGAAGAATGAATAAATTTGAAAACTTCCTACACTCTATTTTGGGTTGGATAGACTGTTACTGTTGGCTTCGGTTGCAGAAATATTGTTTCTTTTTCTTGGCCATGCATTCCTAGTACCACTGGCATATCATGTCTCACAAAAGGTGCTTGTGGTGTGGAAGACTGACCATGATCTGGTCTGCAGGAATGCAAAATCAATCTCTAAGAGCTGCTTGCGCGACTTTGGGCTTCCTTGCCCATTTTTCTAGGTTGACTTCTGAATTGTTCCTTGTGACAAATGTTAATTCCATCCACTGTTAACACTGGAATGTGTTTTAATTCAATAAATATGCACCAACCCCTTTTCTCGTTTTTTTTATGTGTGTGTCTAGAAATACACGACTGTTACAATTTTACTTCTTTTCTGGTGTGTAGTAGGCCTAAGTGTATAGAAAAATTACTTCATGCACGTTCATAGTGTTGTATGGATTCTGATTGTTGGTCTGTTGCTATGTGTTTCAGGATTCAAGGCACGTGAGTCATACAAACCTGCATTTAATTTCTCGGACAACATTAACGGAATCATTGAGGATTCAAATGTAGTTAAGGTTAGATACATGTATTCGTTTTTCTTTCTCAATTCTCCTCGCCCCCCCGTCTTCTTCTGCTGCCTTGTTACTGAGATGGCTATTAGGGTGGGCTGTTGTACTTTAGATTAATATTCAGGGTTTTCCTTGTACAGAAGCTGGATCAATCAACAAAAAGATTTATGTGGTTGGGTTCACCCTGGATCTGCAGGAAAAGGCGTTGTCATTACCAATCATTTTGTCGCAATGGGGTCACAGTAGCAGTAAGTTTTACTATGTCTTAAATTTATAGATCTTGTTGCCTTATGGAACGATAGTGAGATTCATGTGCATATATCTCTCATTTTCAGGTTCATGATTTTGTCTATGTGTTGGCTGAAGAAGGTGAGCGGCTTGTTGCGCATTTAGATGATATGTACGAGGACTCCAAGGGCAACAGAATGGTGGTGGTACAATGGTTTCACAAAGTTGAAGAGGTTGGTATTGATTTGCCTCAAAACTGTCGTGACAGAGAGATTTTCTTTTCTCTCTGTCTTCAAGATCTCAGTATTGAATGCATTGATGGACTGGCAACTGTGCTCAGTCCTGAGCATTTTGAGAAATATTTGAGTGAGGCAAAACGTACTCAGTTGGAACCATTTGTGTGCCACACGCTGTTTGACAATGACGAAATCAAGAGATTTGACATTACCAGAGTCGAAGGTTACTGGAAACAAAATTTACTGAAATGCTTGTCATTTGACTCCCATTGTAAATATCAGCCAGCGAGTGATGGTCAAATCCGGGAAAGAAATCCTAGTGATGCTGGGAACAGGCCCTTGAAGAGGCTTCGAAGGTGCGAAGAGTCTGATACTGGCACACAATCACCTAGAGGATTGGTGGATGTTGATGATAAGTCACAGCAATGCTCGGGTAACTTGAGTTCAAATTCCAAAGTCCTAACGGGTGTGAATGGTTTGGAAAAAGTTCCAGCCTCCTTGCCAGTGAAAATTTCATTGGAACAAAAGAATGGACACCTGAGCATTGGTTCTCAAGTTGAAGTGCTCTCTCAGGATAGCGGGATCAGAGGCTGCTGGTTTAGAGCTTTGATCATGAAAAGACACAAAGAAAAGGTGAAAGTTAAGTATCAGGATATCTTGGATGCTACGGACGAAGCTAAGAATCTGGAGGTAAGGACATTAATACCTTAACTAAATAATCCATTTAGATGGAACTCATTTGTACAAGTTGATCGTGTCTGACTTTTTTATACTATCTTTCTTGTAGGAATGGATTTTGGCTTCCAGGTTGGCTGCACTTGATGTACAAGGTGTTAGAATCTATGGGAGGACTGTAGTTAGACCTGCACCATCCTCTAATAAGCGCAAAGTTTCGTGGGAATTCAATGTCGGGACTGCGGTAGATGTGTGGCGACATGGTGGATGGTGGGAAGGCATTGTAGTTAAGAAAGAGGACGAAGATAAGTTCTGCGTATATTTTCCGGGTGAATGTCAAGAATCGATCTTTGCTCGTAATGATATGAGACATTCCCAGGAGTGGATAGAAAATGGTTGGAAGCAATTAAAAGAAAGGTCAGATCTTGTGTCGGAACATACAAGAAAGCCAGAAGTGGTCGACTGTTCTGAAGGTAAACCTGAAAGAGAAGCAGCCGTTTTGTACCCTGATACTTTTGACAATGAAGTGGATCAGGGGGATAAGCTTGATGAAATGTCCAGAGTTCGGGATCTGTCAAAAGATGATGCGCTCTCACAATTGAAGTGGAAATCATTGGGGAGGCGAAGACGAAGTAGTAGAAGCCCTGTGCATAAGTCACATTTTTCTGCTGATGATGAAAACCGAGTTGAAGATTCGCGAAAGCAGACGTATCAGAGATTTTTCAAGATTGCATCGTCCATGAAGGTTGATCCTGACAAATGCAAATATATGGGTGATTCTCCCTTTGGTTCAGTCGTGCCTCACTTAACAAACTTAGTTATGACAAGGTGATAGTTCTTTTGTTCTTTCTTTGTTCCAAGGTCCTTTTTACTGCGGATCTTTTGGCCAAACACGCTAATCTTACATAGGATGATGCATGTACATATCTTGCTGGCTGTTGACTTGTAGTTTTAGGAGCCTGTGTAACTTAGGGTAGTAGGTGGGAGTTTTGTATATCAGATGTTGGGGATTCTGGTTCTTGGTGTGGAGGTCTTGTAAACTTGAAGACCTTGAAACTCACAATGATCATGTATCTGACTTGTGTAATACCTAATCATGAAATATCTTCAGTATTCTTCTTCCTTTTGGTAATAAGTTTACACTTGTGGTCACTGCCGGTACTGTTTCTATTCAGCTAATGCAGTCATACATGTAAATTTCTTGTTATTACGGCTTTGGGGAATCTTGTTCAAATCAAAGTTGGTAGCAGCCTTTATAATCTTGTTAGTGTGGGTGGTTGGGTGTCCACTGTCCTAGGATTGTGGACAACCTTTGTGCTGGGGAAGCATGCATGCAGTTATAACTACGGCATTCTTTGTCATCACCATTTATGGTGTGTGGATAGAAAACGGAAGATTTGGTGGTTGCCCTAAATAGCAAAGAGGTTGCTATTAGGTTTGGGATGTTTATACAGTCAACTACCAAGAATGGAGACTTTTACTTGTACTACTTGAGCAAATTTCTCCTTTTTAAGCATTAGGCTTTCCATTTGATCCGTGCCTGTGGAATGGCTCTGCATGATTTGCTGTAATTTTGATAAAGAGCACACCATTATTATTCTTCGGCTTCTGCTGGGATGATGTTGAACTTACAGGTGAATTTGCCATTTAGCCTGTGATTCAACAATTTAAATTATTGACTGAATCATATAGTTGCCGTCACAACAATAAAAATTTTCACAAAAAAATATTAACCGAAAGGATTGGTTTAAACAAGAAACTACAACCATATTTCCCTACCACTGGTCAGAGCTTTTTTTTTTATTTTTTTATAGCTAGACATTAGCAGCCATTGTTTCATTTCGTGGTTGCTTCTTTCTTTCTTTTCTCATTCGTCATTACGTTCCCGTAAATCAGAAGTATCTGACCCAATCATGGAGAAAAGCTCTTGCTTAACTTTTTTTTCTAAAAAATATATGTCAATTTTGATGTTTGTTTGGGATATCTTCGAAGACTTCTCATTTCGAGTTTTCAACTTGGCGGCTGCTAACTCCTTTGTTTAAGGCTAATTTGGTTTTTTAAAGCATAATCTAACGATAAACACACGAGGCTAGCCACTCAGCCAGCTAATGTGTCATCCTCTGTTTACTGTATTTCACCTAAACAGAATTTGACCTGATTCGATTATTGCACCAAAACCTGGATTACGAGGGTAATTTTAGTCTTCTAAGCAACGTTGAAACCATAATTAATCCGTGTAAAAGAAATGTTCAAAAAGTACAGTGGGGCTAAAACCAGCTACAACGTTTTTGTGCCATGAATGAAAGAAAGAAAAATACACATCTCTGTCAATGATGACTTTTCTACTTTTGTGATGTCTGTATTTCAACAATTTTTTTCCCCTTTACTCTTTGAAATACATACACCCTCTCCTCTCTTCTACAGCACATGAACCATTTCAGAGAAAGAGATGGGATTGCTCTATCTTTTACTGTAATTAACGTTAATATATCTTTTTCCCCATACACCAAACTTCTTTTTGTCTCTGCCCCAATACACAAAAAAAAAAAAAATATTAAAAAAAAATGAGTTTTGAAGCCAGCCAAGTTGGATTTGGGTAAGGATATATTGGTGCTCTGTTTTGGTGAAATTTTGAAGAACAGGGTTGGAACATGGCACTAGTTCTTGGTGATCAGAACAGGAAGAAATTTAGATCAATTGAAGCAGAGAAAAGAAGGGATAATTTGCCTACACTTGCTTCCATTGAATCTTTAGCCATACCTCTTGTGAGTTAGTCTCTTTTCTCTTGGGTGGTCAATTTCCTTTTGATCAGAATACTGAATACTGATAATTCAAGCTTTTTCTGCATTCTTGCTATCAGCATTGTTACTGGACTTCTGGACTAATTGGCAAGTTTCTTCTTTGATGATGTTTTAGGTGCAAGAAGTGGTCTTTTTAGCAGATTTCCGATGCCCAAATTGTCAGCAAAGAGTTGCAGAAGTCATGTCCAAAATGAACGGTAAGTTTCAATCTCTTCTTCCACTAGCATTTCATACTGGTAAAAAATCTCAGCATTTTTCAGACCATTGGTTTGAGTTGTGAACTTGTTTTCTTCTCTGTAACCACAAGGGAATTTGATATGTTTTAGCTTTTAGTCATGGGTTGCAATCATGCTGGCTGTTTGTGTTGAGGCAATTTTTGTTGGAGTGTATCATTGTTTTCATTTGGGGAAAAAAAATTGTTCCTTTTTCTTTTAGTGGACCTTCCCATTGGATTCCACAGTGCAATAATTTTTGGGGTTCCTTTTTGGAGTATTCTCCAATTTCAGGACTTTTTATCTGTAGGTAAGGGGGTCCATGTTAGCCATAGTCCCTAGGGATATGGGGGGATGCTGTAGATGCGAACCATACCCAATACTACCAATGACCAAATCTATTGTGCACATGAATGGGGGTCCTTAAGTACTGCAATAAAACTAAATTTTAATTCAAAGTAGCCTTCTAAATAAGAATGGAAAGAAGAAATCCTAAAGTTTGGTAGCAATAGATATTGATTAGATACAAAATAGTGGAGTACCACGTTTAGTCTATCCTAAACCATATAAAATAATAAGTACTCCACTATAGTATATGTTTCAAAGGGGTCAGCAACATGTGTTTTTTGGGACGTTATTACAAGGGAGTGGTTAGCATTTAGCAGGGCGTCATCTAGATTAAAGAAACACTTTTTGAGTTTTTTTTTTTTTTTTGGTCATTTGTTTCTTGATTCTTCTGAAATAGACGTGCTAGATTAGACTTGGAAACAATTAATCAAGATACGATGAATTTAGTGGATTAACTTCATCGATTAACATGCCAATATTTTGTCATCAAGTTTGACATTTTGAGCACCAGAGAGCCGTTGAATGTGGTCCCTTAATACTTGGAAAATTCTTCAATTCCTTTTTTTCCTTTGCAAAAATGATATCTGCATTAATTTATTTTTTCTTCTGATGCTTGCACCAAAACTGAGAAAGAGGCTTTGATTGACGTCCTCCAGATTGAATGAGATTGTGTGAGATTACGTGAGTGGTAACGATTGTATTACATATATATTGATATAGAATTCCACACGTCAACAACAGAAGGGTATGAATCTTGAGAGTACACCTTAATTGATGCATGATATAAGAGTATTAAGATATACTACGTTATGTATATACTTTTATCGTTTCAAAATGCAATTCTAACAAACTGTTTATGACGAACGGAATATTATTTAGTTCATTCTTATCAAATATGCAGACCGTTTATGTGAGATGGAAAGAGTATTTTTTAGTCACTCTTTAGGGTGGTGATGTAGTGATTATACTTGGCAATATATATCACTGGAGTAAATGATTAAATGGGGGGTAATTAACTTGACCATGTATATATATTATCGTTTCCAATCAGCATGCCTGAGAATCTGTAAAGACTGTAACTTTGTGATGTCAACTCAAACATGTTAAAATCCTTTCTTATCAGGGGAGACAGATTCTGTAGAAGTCAGTGTGTTGGACAAAAAGGTGACAGTCACGTGTAGATTTCCTACTGCTGCAGAAACCTTGGGAATTCCTGCTTCATCACCCAATAGTACCCCAGTTGCCCCACTCAACAAGCTTTCCCTCTTGTTCATGCGCCTCTTCTTCACCTCCTGCCGTTCATGATTTCGTCCATTTGTCATAGAAAATGGGAGAAAGACAGTATGATTACAGAAGAATTTGTTAGTTTTAAGTATTTTTTTATATAGGGTTAATTAATTTGTGATTCATTTTTTGGGTTTCTTAGAGTGATATAATTAATATGATTGTAACCTCTTGGCTAGGTATGTTAGATGGGGATGACACAGTTGCCTAACTGAAATCAGAACAAAGCCATATTGACTATATATAGTTATACATTTGTAATTTGGATCTTTCTTAGTTGCTTACCATAGAAAGGGATTGGTTTTATCGCTGTTTTTTATTCTTTCTTTGACCGAGTATTTGTTCTCTAACGCAATTATGTTTCCGAAATTTGTTGAGAATTTATCATGGATGAATCGGTGAGTTACATTACCAAGGACTACTTTTATCAGTAATTAATTAGTTCCTGGAAGATTTCCATTTTCTCATTATCAAAAGTAACTTGATCTGAATCGTTGAATTGATGATTATTGAGAACTATGATTAATAGCGACATTATATTATTGGATTTCTTGACCAGTTAGCAACCTTGTTTCATGTTGATTGCTTCGACATATGGGCATTCTTAAGAAATGGCTTGCAAATTTGGAAATTGTTTTTATACGTTGTTAATTCATCCATTGGGTGAATGTTATTAAATTTTATACCTAGCTCTTAGATCATCGATCTGCTTTTGACGAGAGAAAGAGTCGATCCTCTCCATATTCTCCATACGCACGCAACACAAAATTACAAACCATTCATTTATGTGATGCAAGATGCTTACTTCGACAAGAATTAGGAATCTTTCATTTGTCAGTTTAGGCATTACCAGTTTAGGAAGTTAAACCAACTGTTCTTTTTCATAGTACTTTTCTTCGGGCGACAGAACCGAGCCAGAATTAGATTCTTGACTAAAAGATCAAAGCTTTTCGATTTGACATTTAAGTACCTTAAAGAAATGCGAAACCATATGAAGCATGATTTATTTATATAACAAAGGCCATCTTTGTTTGTACCTTTTTTTTTTATCATAAAGCTCCACTGCGTACCTGCCTTTTCCATCATCTTTTGCAGCTCAGAATCAATTCGTTATCTTCTCATAAAGCTGGTTTAAAATGTCTGGATTACAGGCAAGTTGTTCTTTCCTCTTTTTTTTTTCAACCTTGATTGACCCGTTTTTAACATTATGTTGAAAAGACTAATTAAAGGTTTCCGATTTTTGTTCATACAATGTTTCAGATGTGTTGTATGGTGATGAGGATTAACCTAGACTGCAATGCTTGTTGCCGAAAGATGAGGAGAATCATTCTCAGAATGAAAGGTTTTTATTTATACCTAAAATGGATTCTCATAACTATTTTTTTTTTTTCCCAATCCTCTAGCGATATTACCTTACTTTTTCTGTTTAAAAATAAGAGTTTATTAAGATATGATTTAATTTGTAGCATCAACTGATTGAAGGTTTTTTCCTCTTTTTTTTTTTTCCATCCCTTGTTTGATTTTTGAAGAAATTGAGACTCATGCAATAGAGAAGCAACATCTAAGGGTAATTGTGTGTGGGAGATTCGTTCCGGCCGATGTAGCAATCAAGATAAGGAAAAAGATGAAGAGAAGAGTTGAGATTTTGGAAATCCAAGAATTTACCAATGCCGGCCCTAATGAACATGTCGTCGAACAAGGGTCACATTTCCCAGTCCCGGATCATCATCATGATCATGGCATGCCAATGCCTCCTCCATACTTTCAATTCCCAGAACATCATCATCGTTATGCCATACCTCAATACGCTTAAAGTGTTTTTCATCATACAATATATACCCCTCCGTTCCAAAATTAGTGGTCGGCTTGGATTTTCGTATTTAATGTAAATTGTATTAGAAATGAAAATCCAAACTTAACAATCTGTTCAGGGCAGAGGAACTATACGTATACCAGACGGGATACTTTCTATGTGATTCATTTTCTGTGTGTTAGAGTGCTTAAAGATGTATCATGAGAGTGGATTTGTTTGTGAGGAAAAAAAAAAGAGGGGATGACAGAATTAGGAAGCAATTTGTACAGGTAGCAAAAAATTGATATGTTGGAGGAGACATTAGAGGAGATTTTAGCATTACACGAAAAGTAACAAATATTAATCAATAGTTCAAATTCAAAAGCACATATGATTCTCCCTGATGTTGCTTTCAGTGTTGAGCACTTCCTGTCGAACTCTATTACAATCCAAGTTGTATAATTAAACATTTTACTTGTTTCAGAATAGGAGCTACATCGAACTCATTGAGTTCTCAAACCTATGTTATTACTATGACATTTGTACTTTTTAGAGATTGTTATTGACTATAAGGCTAATTTTAGCATTAGTCTGATGAATAACGCTTATCACATAAATTGAAAGTAAAATAAAACAATGTGATTCACAATTTAAAAACGAACGTTACGTATCATACATAACATAAATCGAAGAGTTGCATTAACAACATCGTAAAAAACACGGAACATCATCTACACCAATGGTAGTTCGAGATAATTTTTATGCTCCAATCTATCATTTTTAGGATCAACCATATTCCCTGTTAAAACTTAATATTAACTGTAGTTGTCCAGAATCCAAACACAGCCCAACTGAGCCGATGAGTTTACGGTTTAAAGTTCTTTTGGAGTTTAAAATGTTGTAGATCCTCCTGCCTAAGCCCAACTCATAGAATTAGAGTCCTCGCATAAAGCCCCCGTTTGGTAGGACGATACAATAATAATAATTTGCATAAAATGTCAACAAGTTTTTCCTTTTTTTCCCAGCACTTGTGCAAGGAACAGAAATCTTATCCCTTCAACGAGACAAAATGTAGGTACCAAATCAATTTTCAAAATCATGATAAATTAAAACTAAAACTGGACAATTATTTTGGAAATATATTAATTATTAGTGGGTGACTCGCACGTTTTGTGGGTTGTAAAATTTTTCATGCATTATTTATGTAAAATAAAGTTTATCAAAAAATACAAGAGTAATCACATTGAAAGATGCATTCATCCCCCCCAAATACAGTATAAGCTAAAACTTCTCAAGTAACAGTAATCCGTTGAATAAAAAAAAAAATCTCTAAAAAAGCAACAAAAGTTTTAAAGGAAAATGAAATAGATAAACATACCTGATTGTTTTGAATTGTTTACTATCATGGAGTTTAAATAGAACAATATTTAACAAATCCCGTATAAGATTTAGGATAAGAGTAATCTAGGATAACTTGAATTCTATTTGAGGTTCCAATATCAGATTACTTATTTTAAAAAGTTGTTGCAGAAAGTTAAAATAAAGTTATTTTCTACTGTTAAGATGCATTGTAATCAAAGTTAAATCTTTTTTTTTTTTTTTACTTCCAACTTAAGTGAGTTTCTAATTTTATGCCAAGTAAGCTATTCATCCTATAGTAATATGCACTAGATGCTTGCCCCAGCCATTCGCTCGGGGTGTCGCATGTATTTTTAAATCGATTAAATAAAAAATACGAATCATCCTTAAAAGAATAAAAAATAGAAAAATAAAAAATCGATTGAAAGGACAGTAAGTGAGTTACTACACATAAATCTATGCCCAGATTTACAATATTTAATTTACAACAGTTAACTTATGCCCAGGTTACATAAATCATAAACCAATATCTACAACAGAAGAATTAAAAAAACAAATCATCCTTAAAAAATCAAATTTCTTTTATGACAGCTTATTTTTTCTCTGTTGTAGAAAGAGATGAATTGATAATTGATATCAGATTTTAAGTAATTGATTTAAAGGCCCGAATGTGAGAGAAGAGCGGAATAGAAGAGATCCTTCGAAATTAGAGATTGGGGAGATATTACTGGTGTTTCACTTGATTTAAAGGGATTTCATTACATTTGATTTTATCAACTAAATATTGTATGTTGTTGTTTAAGGGATTAGTATATATATATAATTAAAAGATTTTTATGTAACTGTAATTAAGGGATTTATGTATTTATCTATTCTATCCTTTTTTTCTGATTAGTAAGCGTGCCACATGTCAAAAATGATACTGAAAACGACTTTTGGTGAGAAAATTTTCATTGTGGTACTAACACATGTTTTTTTTTTGTTTACTGCTTTAATTAAATATATATATATATATATATATATATACTATAGATAGATTATTAAAGAGTTGCAAAGATTTTTATACTCACACAATCAGACAATCTCTTTTTGAATATAAGTTTTCAGTTTGTAAATAGAAATAAGTGTTGTTTCCTCTATCTCAAAATGTATTTGTTTTTTCCGATAATTATTTGAGATAAATAAATATATATGTATATTTATTATGATCATCAAAAGAAAAAGTTAAGAAACAATGGCACGTGTATTACATTTCTTGATGAACACAATATGGGTATTTACCGTTTTTTAATTTTCGCGGCGCATTATTTTCTTCATTGAATTTATTTTCCTCCCGTCGCCCATATAGAAGACCGTAAATTACTTTTGTGGGTAATACCGTAAATTCGTCAGAGTATATCCTTAAACCGCCAAAGCAGCGTAATGTATTCCCGTAATTGCAAAGTTGCAAACGCAAGAGCCAGACTCCGGAGACAGCTTTTCATCTTCTTCGGCATTTACAAACCCTAACCCTAAGATTCGCATTGTTCAATTCCTCGAATTGAATTCCTTCAATTGAACGTCAGGCTCAACCTATGGCTAGCGAATCTGGTGAACCTACTCGCCGGAAGCATCAGCTTTCTCCATCCGACGAGGACAACATCGAGGCCGAAAACCCTTCGAAACGCCGGAAGAACCGCCATAGGCATCACAAGCATCACCATGGACACCGCCATCATAAACGCAGTAGCAAGAAAGAAGGAAAAGGTGAGGATGCGACTGAACATGAGCTAGAGCTCGGAGAGAAACGGAATGCCGAGAATGATGACGTCGGTTTGGCTCGTTCTGGCTCCCATCAAGCTCCGTCTACTGCTGCCAGTAGTGAAGTTGCTCCAGGGTCGATATTAGGGATTGATTATGATGATATGGAGGAAGGAGAAATTGTTGAAGAAGATGAGGTGTATTCACATTCCCCTTCTCCCTTTTTGTACTTCTCTTCCCTGTATTTCATCACGAGTTTTAGTTTTCGCATGTTTGGTTGCTGAATTTTTTCAAAAAAGAAATTTCTTGTGCTATTTTTTTACACAATTATCCTTTTCAGCTTGATGATCATTTAGAGGATGGCTCTTTTCAATCCCATAATTTTTTTTTGACTATTCCGATGTTTGTTTATCCATCAACCAAACAGAATTAGTGTGATTTTCGTGAATTTTGTGTGTATTGGAATCTTATTGAACGAGTTGCTGATTTTTTTCCCACAATTAGTGGTGGAGACTCGGTGCTTACAGTAACACGAACGTTATAGAACTTTTCTTACAGTAACAGATTTCAGAATTTGAATTTCATATGCAACAAAGCACTATGCTAATTTTTTCTCCCAGGCGATTTGTCTCCTTTGAGATTCTTGAAGACTGATGACTTTTCAATGGATTTGTAAGAGTTAGTTTTATGGCGTTTTTGTTTTTCCTCCTATTTACCACTTTTTTTGGTTACTTTTCCATGGAATTCAATATGAACTTTGTGTTTTGACTTTTGAAATACTTGACTTCAGTTGTTGGGCTTAATATTAGTATTTCCTTCTGTAGGTAGTGGATACATCTCGAAGAAAGAAGGTGTTGCCTTCTGAACAAAGCATGTATGACGTGGATGGAAAGTCAGGCAAAGATGACCAAAATTTCATTAGAGAAAAACAGGAGGATTTGCTTTTGGAAAGACCTTCACCAGGTGATCATGCAGCTAACGGTGAAGTGCGTGAACACTTGAAAGATGACTATCTTGGTGAAAAATATAGTCAGCGAAATGGACGCCATAACATAGAAGAAATTAGGAGGGATAAGAGGACTGGAATTATTGCTGAAGATGAGACAAGGAAGCACAGAGGTGTATCAAGCTCACCCTCTCAGGACACACTTCATGGTCATAGAAGGTCACGGTCACAGAGTGTACTCAGAGATGGTTCATTGCCAGATTCTTTAATAAGATATGATGATGGTTATCGTTCAAAGAGAAAGCATGGGACTGATTCAGATGATGAGATGGTTGAAGTTAGCAGGGACTATAGACATGCTTCAAAAGATTTGCCAAGTGATAAAGAAAGGAAGCATTCAAGTGTAAGCAGATATAGTAGTCGTTCAGATAGGCATCACAGTCGGGAAACTTGGGACAGACATAGAGAGGGAAGCCGGGATCTGGATAGAGACAGGACAAGAGATAGAGATAGAGAAGGAAGCCGAGATCTGGATAGAGACAGGACAAGAGCTAGAGATAGAGAAGGAAGCCGAGATCTGGATAGAGACAGGACAAGAGCTAGAGATAGAGAAGGAAGCCGAGATCTGGATAGAGACAGGACAAGAGATAGAGCTAGAGAAGGAAGCTGGGATCTGGATAGAAACAGGACAAGAGATAGAGATAGTGATAGGTTGCGGGCCCATGAGAGGGAGAGGGTTAGTGAAAGGGAGAGGGAAAGGGAGAGGGAGAGGGAGAGAGAGAGGGAGAGAGAAAGGGACAGGGAAAGGAAAAGGGAGAGGGAGAGGCACCGGGACTGGGAGAGAGAGGAGAGGGAAAGACAGAAGGAGCGCAATAGAGAGAGCAGCAGAGATAGGCGTGGGGATAGAGATGAAAAGTATAATCGTCACTCTAAATATAATGATGATGGTGATCGTGATAGGCGGGATGATTATAGGGGTAGAAGACATGAAGAAACTGTTAGCAAGGATAGGCTTCACGAAAGTGAGGCAGAAAAAGTTGATAGTTCTAAGGTCGATGTCTCTGAAAGAGAGAGTGAGAAGTCTAAAAGGTGATTTGATGCTATACTATCTTACTTACTCCCAAGGGTATAATTCTATTTCCTTTTCCCTTTTTTATGTGATATTTTGTTTTGTTGGATGCAGGGATGAGATTGACGCTGAAGAATATGAAGCGAGGGTTGTGTTGCAGTTAGATGAGCAGAATGAAGATGAGATCCTTGAGAAAATTAAAGAGGAAAGTAGGAGGAGGAGGCAAGCTATTCTTGAAAAATATAAAACTCAGAATTTGCAGCAGCAGCCGCCTCAACCTGAACACGCAGGTATTATTTGGTTATTAGTTTCCTTCATTAGTAGAAGAGTGTGGTTCTTTCAATTCCTCCTCCCCCACCCCTCCCTCTTCTAATAATTCCTTCCATGGGAAAGATGCAAAGTCTTCTTTGATGATGGTGTTTGGTTTGGCATCTCTCTGGCTTGATCTTAATTTGTAATAATTTTCCCTTCCCTGCTCTTTACAAGTAGTGTTTCTGTGGAACAGAGATTGAGCAAGTAGAGCAGCCACCTCTGGTTGTTGGTTCTGAAGCTACAGATGATCGAATTGAGACAGACGATTATGTTGCAGAAGGATCATTTTCTGTTGGAAAATCACCTCCAGCAAATGGAATTTCTGTTTTTGAGAACTTATCTGATGCTGGTGGTCTGGGTGCCGGTACTCCCAAGGTGAAGTCTTTTTGACAACTGGAGAGATGTTTCATTTATTTTATACTAATATTTTTTTGTTATCTTCTTGACACCCTTTTGGTGCTGCCAATTTTTGTTGCCTGATTAATCTAGCTGATTTTCCTCCCTCTTATTAATTATTTTTTTCCTCCTTCAATAAATAAAACTGCAGAGTGAAAAAGAATTGCAGAGAAAAAGATCTGATGATATGTTCTGTGATGATATCTTTGGGGAATCTCCAGCTGGTGTCCGTAGAACAGTACGTTTTCATGCTTTGACTTGCAGTTACATCTTTACTATCTCTCTTTATCACAAGCTTCTAAACTTTTAGTTTGTTATATGCTTTCTTTGCTCTCTGACCTATATTCCATCCTCTCTTGTTTCCTTTATTTAATTGTCCTGTTACACTTTATATTGCTTGTAGTTTTAATTGTTTGGGAACTTTTTTATAGGGCAAGGGAGATGGTTTAGCTATTGAAAGGAGTGGCCAGCATGACAATTGGGATGATCCTGAAGGATATTATAGTAAGTATTTCATCTATCTCAGACTCCTAATTTCCTTTTTTCCTTTGAGGTTGACATCATACTTACTGTCCTTTTGTTAAATGTTACTCTTTTACATTTTCTTTCCAGGATTGCAGTCTATTTTAAGTTTGATTGCTTTCTTACCTTCTGGAGATTGACATAATAGTTTTCTTTTGGGGGCAGGCTATCGTTTTGGAGAGATACTTGATGGTCGGTATGAGATCATTGCTGCGCATGGTAAAGGTGTATTTTCTACTGTAGTTCGTGCAAAGGATCTTAAGGCTAAACTAGGTGAACCTGAAGAAGTAGCAATAAAGATGATTCGAAGTAATGACACAATGTGAGTAAATATTTTGGCTTTCTTTCATTTTCCGCTATTTTTTATTCGCTTTCTGGAGCTAAGTGGTGGTTCTCACTGTTTTCTTAGGTACAAAGCTGGTATGGAAGAGCTGGTTATATTAAAAAAGTTGGTTGGTGCGGACCCTGAGAACAAACGTCATTGTGTTCGTTTTCTTTCCAGCTTTAAGTATCGGAATCATCTCTGTTTAGTTTTTGAATCTCTTCATATGAATCTTCGTGAGGTTTTGAAGAAGTTTGGTCGTAATATTGGGCTTAAATTAACTGCTGTGAGGGCTTACGCAAAGCAACTCTTCCTAGCACTGAAGCATCTAAAGAATTGTGGTGTGCTTCATTGTGATATTAAGCCAGATAACATGCTTGTAAGCTCTCAGTCCTATCCTTTGTCTTTCTTTCGTTGTCCTTTTCTGCGGATGTTTAACACACTCTCTCTGTGTCTCTGTCTCTGTCTCTGTCTCTGTCTCTGTCTCTTTCTCTCTCTCTCTCTCTCTCTCTCTCTCTCTCTCTTAGGTCAATGAAGCAAAAAATGTATTGAAGCTTTGTGATTTTGGCAATGCAATGTTTGCTGGCAAGAATGAAATTACCCCATATCTAGTGAGCCGTTTCTATCGTGCCCCAGAAATTAGTAAGTGTTCCTACTCTTCATTTGCTCTTGGAATTGCTTGATTGACAATGTTCCTTCCATCTCAAAACAGAGTCGAGTTTTGAACCCATTTCAAAGTTTTAAGGCAATACATATAAGTTGCTATTTATCACATTTTTCTTGCTGGTATGGAAGTGTACAGTGTACCATCCTACTAAATGATACTAATCGTTAAAATTGTATTATTCTGGCTCTTTTCTGGGACAAGGAGATTTGTAGAAACTGAAATTTTTTTCCCCCAGTGAGAAAGGATTGAATCTAGGACTGCTAATCTTGAAATGACATTAACATTTTCTCTCCCTTGTATTAAGCATTTGAATTTTGTGTACTTGCAGTTCTTGGTTTGGCTTATGATCATCCCATGGATATGTGGTCGGTTGGCTGCTGTTTGTTTGAGATTTACACCGGGAAAGTTCTTTTTCCCGGCGCTACAAATAATGATATGCTTCGACTTATGATGGAACTTAAAGGTTTATTCCCAAAGAAGATGGTTCGAAAGGTCAGTAAACACAATATATGTGTGTTTATGGGTTAACACCCTATAAGATCTAACCTGTTGGAAATCAGGAAAGGGATACAATCTGTTGCCTTTCTCTGCTTCTTTCTTGTCAAGTGCTTTTTTATAACTAGTTTTACGCAACTTCAACTTTTTTGTTTACTTTGTCCTTTTTTTTGGGGCAGGCCGCATTTAAGGACCAGCATTTTGATCAGAATTTGAATTTTCTTGCTATAGAGGAAGACCCTGTGACTAAGAAGGTAGGTATCTACTCGATTGTTGGATCTCCTGTTCTACTAAGTTACTGGCTATAGTAGCCTTGGTGGCTTTTTTGGTTATCTTCATGCTTCTGTTTGCTCATTTCTTCTTTACTAGCAGGCTGTGAGGAGGGCAATAATAAATGTCAAGCCAAAAGATTTTGGAACTCTGATTCATGGTTCTCCGGGTGAGGATCCAAAGATGTTAACAAATTTTAAAGATCTTCTCGAAAAGGTTTTCATGTTGGATCCTGATAAAAGAATTACCGTGTCACAAGCATTGAGTCATCCATTCATCACTGGCAAGTGAACACTAGTGCTGATTTTCTGACTACAGAAATGCAATTGGGCTGTTGTAAATTATGATATGATCCCATTTTATATTTAACTATTGGGCATTAATTTGTCTCTTCTGTGCTGGCTATAAGAGCTTTGTAGACAGAGCTTTGGCATGGTTGAAGACAGTGGGGCTGATAATTTGAGTGGAAGTTGCTTCATACTTGGCGTTGGATGTTTTCTGTTTCTATTGTAAGATAACTCGCCAAAGGCGTTTTTACCTTTTGTACTTTCTTGATGCTGACCATTAAAGGAATCATTGAATAGAACTTTTTTCCTTTTAATAAGGAGTTTTAGCTTGTACTTTGGACTTGTTTCCAGCAAGTCACTTCAGAGGACTTTTCTGCTTCTGAAAAATAGAATGGCTGATATAAATATTACTTGTAAATGAGAGTTTCTCTGACGAGCTCGTTGCCTATCTTTCTCTCTAATCTTCTTCTTATTTTAGTTGCTGATGTTTGGTTTTTGTGATTCTTTATTCCAACTTATGGTTGTTCTCATCCCATCTGCTACCACTTCTTCCTTGGTTCTTGTTTTTCGTTTTTCGGTTTCTCGTCTTGCCCCCTTTATGTTTGTTTTTTGGTATTTCGTCTTGCCCCTCTATGTTAATTATATTGGGTCCTCGAGAGTCTAATTTAATTTTTGGTTCAGGACACCATCAGTGCTATGAGGCAACAGTTCACTTAGGTGCTTAAAAAGGCAAACCTGGAGAAGGTATTTTGGTTTGTTTTGCTAGGAGTTTATTTCCTAGACAGTTGACAATTTGCCCTGTTATATCTTTTCTCTTATTGATGTTGAATAGTTGTATGTGATTTAGTTTTTTTATGCTGTCATGTGGCATTTCACTTTGTGAAACTTGCCTAATGAGTGCATATTTCAAGTCTGATGGGAATTATAAACTTCAACTTTTAGGACAGTAGGGGGTTTGTGGTACAGCTTTTGTTCAAATTATTGCTGATCACGGCTAATTCAATGTCTTGTTTTGACCTGCTCTTTATTGTTGTTAGGTAGAGTAGCATGTCAGGTCTTCATGTACAATGTTGCGTTCTCTCTACTTCCTGAGCCTGTCTATATTATCAGTTTGATGTGTGTCATTTCTATTACTTCAATTGTGCATTTACTAATATGTTTACGTTTGATTTGTCGATTCGGAGGAATACCCCTTGGAGATCATTGGGTGATGCTGTTCTGAGGTGGATATATTTAGTGAGTGATCTTATCTGAACTTTGTGCTTGTTCTTCAATGGAATTCTCAGTTTTGTTTAAACAACCATAGTAATATTTGTCATTTACCTGTACAGGTAATGTCATTATAATTGCAGAACTTCTGTAAGTCTATGTCTAATTTGCACTGGTTACTTTCTTGCTTGAGTTGGTTTCTGATGCTAAACTACTGGTTCAAACTAGGTTTTACCATTGACAGTAGGTTATTATGTGGAATGCTGTAGTTTTTGGCTGATTTGGGAGCAAATTAGTAGTTGATCTTCTCTATTTTCATGCTCCTTTGTTTCGTATGATGTGACCTGGAGTCAGATTGTGTAAGATTTGGACAATCATTTGCACAGATTAATAGATAAGGAAACCAACTCCAATTGTGAGAAAACTTAGTTAAATGTTGTGTGTAACAAAAACATTAAATGCTTATAAGTGACAGGTGTTTAAACTTCAAATTGTCATTATCTAAAGTGTTCATTTAACTTTTGCGCATGCATGGAAAAGCTGCCAATCAAATGGATGACCTTGATGCTTTGTATTTTAGAGTCAATGGACAGTTAAATGATCTTGTTATTTATTAACATTTAGGTTTCTAGGATTGGGTATCACCTCTTTCCTGTTGCCTTTCTTGTCTTTCTTGCTTACTTGTATGTTCTTTGGGATATGGGAAAAAGTGGTTTGCGACCAATAATTGGATTGCAGATAACTTTACTCATTTTAAGTTTGCTTTTAAGTTGATTAGTAATTGGTCTGGCCTGGTCAAATCAAATAAAATGTGAGATTTCGGTCAAGTAGCAGTCAATGTTGGCCATAATGATAACATATTGATAATTGCAATACAGGTAGAACTCATTTGTGGCATGCTTGAACCATATATTATTTGTATTATAAAAGTGAATGGTTCTTTATCTCTCTCCTCTTGCTCATTAAGTTGTGGATATATTGCCTATATAGGCTATGTATTTTTTGGATTTTATTTTTCCTGTTGTAATTACTTCGTTGGCTCTTGGGATATGGGGTGCTCTCTGGCACATGCTTAAAAAGTAATGATTTCCTAGTGGGAGTTTGATACTCCCTCACTTTTTTGACAGTAGGATTTTCATAGTTTAAAAGTCCAAACTGGATAATCATTTTGGGACGGAGGGAGTATATCATATTCCATCTACTGAACCTGATAGTCAGGTACTAAGGCTTGCCTAAATATGTGGGTATGAAGTTCGTAAATATGTGTTGGTTTCTGAAATTATTCCCTGGCTGATGAAATCTTTATCTGCTTTTAATTGTCTTGAAAAGAAGATATATGATAGGAAAAATATGTATCAAGTTCGATATTATGCACTAATGTGAAAATATATTTAGTGACAATATGGTGAAGAGAAATTAATGAATGAGTGAAACTTTAGAATGGATTTGGAGATTTAGGATTGAATCTAGGAGAAATTAGAATTTGGAATCTGGGAATAAAATTTGGCGATAGGGAGTGAAAACTGGGATCATGACCTGTGGTTTGAAAGATATGAAGAAGTGATGGGCCTTTAAGGCTTGATGAAACTAAAAAAGTGAGGATTTGAATTGAGATGATAGTGGCAACTCGGGGATAAAAAGGTTTGATGAGCTGGAAAGAAGTTATCCCATGTTTATGCTAATGTGAAAGAGAGTGAATATGAAATTATCTGTTTAAGATGTTACTCCCTCCCTCCGAAATAATTGTCCAGTTTAGTTGTTCATTTCTAGTACAAATTACTCTAAAAGTGAAAATCGAAATTGGACAATCATTTTCGGACAAAGGGAGTAAAGCTAGTTGGTGGAATGGAGTACCAAGGTAGACTTGAAGATGTTTTAATTCTGACGGTCTGTTTCTTCTATTTTATTTATGGAAGATATCATATTCCAACCAAATTACTTCTAATTTCCTTTGTATTTGTACAATGTTTTCTAATTAAGCAACCAAGATGCAAGTTACACGTGCTAATTGAAATGCGAATTTATGCAACTTCTCTTTTCTTTTATTGAAATGAATGGATATGTTGTTTGCATATTTTAGCAAATTCGAGAAGAAATAGGCCGGTAAATATCATGTTTACATGGACTATTGTTGTGTGAGAAAGAGTAAGATTCGAGTTCTGTGGTTCTTTCCAATTTCAAAATGGTGAGGGTGCTGGGTTAATCTTTCCCAAAATAGAGAACTGTTTATCCAGGCTTTACTGCATTTTATTTTTCAGTTTTGCTAATCGTTTGTATGCATCCTTTGAATAATTTGGGAAAAATTAGTGACTCGGGTCACTGGCAACTTTAGTTTGGAGTGTAACTAACGTGGGTACAGGCTTCTTTGATGCTTGCTATATTTGTTGATGCCACTTCTTACCTCAGTGGGTGAAATTGGGTTGAACTATATTGTGTGTTTCCTTTTTGGTTCTTTATGCGGCGTTGCTTCCAGTCTGGCATTCTCATCTGCTTTATGGTAAATTTGCAAAGTAAACTTGTCCAAGTATGTAATTTGAGAAATTTGAAGGTTGTGAAGGACGGGCTTGATTATAATTGGTGTCTATTTCTGCCAGACTTGATAAATTGATGAATTACTCGTTTACTATCGGGGCTACCTTGATTTTGTACCATTAAAGGACTATGAGACCTTTTGATTGCGAAGGAGGAAAATCATTACCGATTATAATAAGCATCCGTTTGGAGAAGTGCATTGGAGGAAGGTAAAAGTTATTCTAGACTGCCATAAGGGGTAAGCCCTGGTGTCTGGGGTTAATTCTTTCATCTTGCATTCAGGGTTGTTTTTGTTTCTTCCGGAACATCACCAATCGTGAAAGTGCATCTTTCTATGTAATTTTTCTTCCGGAACATCACCAATCGTGAAAGTGTATCTTTCTATGTAATTTGCATTCTATGGAACTTTACTACTACTGAAAAAACAGAAAAGGGAGGCCCTGAGGCCACCCACCTACCCCGGGCCTCAAATCTTTCGGAAAAGTAAGATCAAACAATTGGAGATCATTGGAGATCACACTGAGAATACCCGAATGCCAAGTGTTCTAATTGAGTATCTTATGACTTGGTCTCTGTAGTAATCGAAACACTCGAGTAAAGAGAATGTCGCTATGGGGTTTCGCAGTGAGAGTTGGGTAAAGCAGCTACACATTTATACAATCTTCATTTGACAGCATCTTCTGTGGCAATTGTCTGTTTTTGGGTTTCAACTTAAGAAGCTTCCCTCAATTAGGTGGTGTTTATAATGTGGACCCTGTCAATTCTTGAATTAAGACAGTAACAACTTTATTTATGTAAGAGGAAATACATGCTACTTTATTAGAATCATCTTCATTTACACTATTACGATCGTGTGCCACATATAACAACAAATTCTATATTTCAAACGTAGGTCTTTGTTTAGCTTTGAAGAATTCTTTAGTAGAAGTTGCAACCAATTTCCCATATGATAATTAGAGATAGATAAATATAGCAGGGGTTATTCAATGGGTAGCAGTTGAATTATTGTTGTACATGCTCAAAAAAGATGGCTTCAAATGTAAATGAAAGTTTTTGGGATTTAATTAATGTAAGTTGTTAATCGATGGTATGAATTTGTATAATTAGTGATTGAAGGAAAATATTTGGAGGCATATATAGATCATTGAAATCAATTTTATATATATATATATATGTATATATTAAAGGAAAGAAGATAATCAACACGTGTTGCTCATTGAGATCATCAAGCCTCAATTAACACATGTCATTTGCTAATTGGTTGATCATTAATCAATTTAAATTTTATGTAAACAGTTAATAACTATTATTTATTATATAAGATTTTTACATATATTACAAATTCCCGATCGAGGGTTTGAAAATGAATATTTTCAAAAATTACCGAGAAACTCCCGACTTCAGAAGTCCTTGTATTTGCGAGTTTTAAAATTTTAACCTATTGTCTTTTTGACCTTTAAAGTTTTATTTGTGTGCTACTTAGTCTTCAAGTTTATCGATTTTACATTTTCTAGGACGATTAATTGTGTCTTATATTTTATTAGAACTACATATAATTCCCAAAGTCCCCTTGCCAATAAATAGGCCATAGGCATCTAGACATAATTATGATTTTTTTAAATATATTTTTTAATCCAAACATAACATTAGTTAGTGGTGAAAATATTATTCAACTTTTGAAATTCTTTGTTGTAATATTTTTGACTAGATTTTACAAATATACCTCTCATAAATAATATCAATACCTCTCATTTTGATCTAAAATTGATTAATCAAAAAGTATTATGGTTTTAAAAAATATTAGTAATTCTATTATCTAATGAATTCTTTTGAAAGATACAATTTTCAACATTGACAAACACACAGAGCGCGAGACACATACTAGTAGTATGTATAATAACGAGACCTTTTTCTAGAGAGGTAGAGATTAAACACACCTTATAATAAAGAAACTTAGGATATATTGTAATTCATTTTAATTTGTCTTAAATTTTATTTAGTATGAACTTCTAAGGTCTTTTTTTCAGTTATAAGAACATATTGATGAAATTTAGGACAAATTAAAATACCTTATAATGAAGAAGACCAGAAGGAGTACGTACATACATTTACTATACTTAATTTGGTCAACCAAAGAAAATGCAATATACTCAAAAGGATCATTATTCATGATGAAGACATGCATCATGGGCAAATAAAATATGTACATGGGTACTTATGAAACATATGAACAAAAGCAAAATGAGAATGATCCTATCTGTATATAGCCTAGGGATTTAATGGATGTACAATGGCGCAATTATTGTGTAGTTTCTACACCAATAAAAGATTGTTTTTAACGCAATATTCTTAACTATTTTTTCCAAACTATATTTTTATTAATTTTTATACAGGTTGTGCGTATCTAATACAATGTATTCTATCCATCAAAGTAATTGTTGTAATGTCATCTAATGTACGGCTGAGTTATCCTTACTATACATCTCAGTTCCCACATACAAATCCCTTGGCGTAAAATAGGATTTGAAAAGAAAAAAAAACGCATCAGCTGAGTTTTTTTTAGAACCTTCAACGATTTTTGTTTGTTTGTTAGGCATAAAATGAGGAACTTGAAAGATAAAGGTCTATGGGATTTTTTTTATTTTTTTTTTATTGATCAGCACCAGAGATTGGAAAACAATTATTCTTAATAATTTTCTTCTTAAGGTATCCAAATTTGAAAATTTAGTTTCTATCTAAAATACGGAAACTGAAAACATTACTTCCGTGACTACTGTTGTGAAATTAGCCAGCTGCTACGAAACCCTCATTCAATGGTTCAAGAATCGGATCACTACACTAGTTCTTCCAATGGTTGCATCTTTACTTTATGTTAGAAAAAAAATACGTCTGACACAACATGATTACGACATTTAAGCCACAATATAATCGACCCCATGTAGGGGAATAAGGATTGATACTGGTTTATTGTTGTTGGTATTTTTGGGCAAGTTCCTAAAGGTTATAAGAGAGAATCTGAAATGATCTGATTTAAATGTTATTTTTTCCATCCCGAAATGATTTTTTAATTTAAATGTTCATTTCAAGTACAAATTACGTTAAAAGTGAAAATTCTACTTAAACAATCATTTTGAGACAAAGAGAGTAACGGTAATTAATGGAAAAGAACAGTGAGATAGACTTGAAAATGTTTTAATTTCGAACGGTGTGTTTCTTCTATTCTATTTATGAAAGATTTCACATTCCAACCAAAATTACTTCTAGTTTCCTTTGTATTCGTACAAGATATACTTTCAGATTAGGCAATGCAAGTTACACCCGCTAATTGAACTGCGAATTTATGCAACTTCTTTTTTCTTTTATTGAAATATTGATGAATGGGTTGTTTGCATATTTTAGCAAATTCGAGAAGGCATAGGCAGGTGAATATCATGTTAAGACAAATCAAATCAAAATGACTGAGTAAAGAAAAAAGAGCCGTATATCTTAAAAAAAAACAGACAAGGAAGGCCACACTCGAAACGCTCGAGTAAATAGAATGTTGCCATGGTGTTTCGTAGTACTTCACTGGAGTGAGAATTGGGTAAAGCAGCCCACCCATTTATACAATCTTCAGTAGATAGAGTCTTCTATGCCAAAGTTTTTTTTTTTTTTTTTTTTTTGGGTCTCAACTTAAGAAGCTTCCATCATTTAGGTGGTGTTTATGATGTGGACCCTGTCAATTCTTGATTTAAGACTAACAATTTTATTAATTTGAGAGGAAGATATATGCTACTTTACAAGAATCTTCTTCGTTTTTACTTCTATGATTGTGAGTCACTAGTGGGGTAGTTGGTAATTTACAACAAATTATATAATTTCAAACTGTGGTCTTCGTTTAGGTTTGAAGAATTCTTGTTGTACAACAGATCTTCATGCAAGAAACCACAGTATGTTTATTTCGTTTTTTTAGTGTATATTTTTATATATTTTTTATATTAAAAATATAAAAAAGTGTATTAAAAATGTAAAAATATATACTATAATAAGACAATTATTATTATTTAATTTTGAAAATACCAATTAAAAAAGAAAACAAACTAAGCCTACGCTTTCGCTCCAATTAACCAGTATGGATACTGGCCCTTGAGACTTTCTTTCCTCCTCCACGTGGCCCGGTTTAGGAAAAAAAAAAAAAGGAAATGTTTGGTTTCGAGGGAGTGATGTTTATCACAATTTCGTCCTCCAGTCTTGAACGCTTGATTTAAATATATTCCGGTTTCGAAGGCTTGATTAGTCCATGAACCAACAACCTAACAGCAATCAACTTCTTCATTTATGTTTAAACATGCGCATATATATCAATGTTACGTGAATTAAGAACTTTGTAAGCTACAACTATATTCTCGGTTTCAGTTTGAGAACTCTATAAGCTTACGTGAATTAAGGGTTTGCAGTGCAAGAATTTTCCTGGTAATGGGAACAAGCAACTGAAGCTTTTGAGTTGTATCACATAAACATTGTTCACAAGATTAAATTAAACTTTTCACCTAACTTAAATTAACTTAACCCTCCAGCTTAGTAATGGTGTAATGTTATCCTTACCAATGGGTAACCATATGTATAATATTCTAAAGTATGGATAGAGACTGACAGCGAAAGAAAATAAATATGCCGAACTACAATTTTTTACCCCCGAAGTTTAGTCTGGTCTACGATAAAACTCTCTTGAGTTCTAGTAATACTTATTGATCAGAGGTTGAATATTGAAATGACTAAATTGATTATGGTACACATACATTTTTTATTTTATTTTATTTCGGTTTGTCTTTTCTTTTCTTCGCATTTTGACACAATTAAAAATGAAAATTTACTTAATTTGTTATTTTCACATTTACTTATATTATAAGTTAATAAATAAAACTTAGTTCATGATTAATTATATAAATTAATAATAAATTTAATTTAATTGATGATTAATAATATAAGTTCAAGCGCAATATTCTAAAAGGATTAATATGGTATTTTTAACTTAATTATGATATTTTTTAAAAATATATATAAATTGTATAGTTTTAAAAATATAGATTAAAGGTATTTTTTACCGTTTATACAAAATTAATGATGATATTAGTATGCAGTAAGAGAGTTTTTGATAGGTAGTCTATGAGTCAAAGACTCGAAAGTATTTGGTAGTATAATCTAAATTTGGGGATTTATTGTAGATCTGGCCAAAACTGGAAAGGCAAAATGTAGTTTGCCCAAATAAATAATTAAATAATTGAAGAAAACCACGCATCACGCCTGAGAAAGTAAGTGGACCGCTAGGATTTTTTCCAACAGAAAATGAATAAATCTAAGATGAACATGAACCGCGTTTAGATTTTGTCATTAATTTCGAATTTAGCGGCTCTCACAAAGACTTGGTTATTAAGCAAAGATATTATACACGCTCATGTTTCATCTCAATCATTTCCTCCCAACTTCCCTTTCATTAATCCTTCTCAGTTTCACACACAACACACAGTGACAGTAAAGAATATTCAAGGCATATATAAATCATCCGCATACAAAAATATACAACCATTTTCGTTCTTTCCTCCGTCATCACCTAAAGGTACGAACGAGCCAGGCTCGTTTGTTTCCTTCTAGTGTTTTTTAATAGTTATCCTTATCTCACTGTTGTTGAAAGCTGAAGCTGAAAGTAATATACACACTTTTGTTTTGAGCCAAATTGAGTAACAAGAAAATACTAGACGATGGGGAAGAAGCTTGATGCTCTATTGGGAAGAAGAAACAAGGGTCGCAAGATTAAGCCCACCATAAACCTCGGTATTTCGAGGCTTTGTGTCTTGAAAAACCAGCGCGAAGCACGGCTTAACATTGCCCGTTCTGATGTTCTTCAGCTCTTAAACCTCGGCCAGCATGAAAGAGCTCTTCTTCGGGTTAGTAATACTTGGTTGGTTACATGCCTTTTAATTATTGTTTTTGGGTTTTCTCGGGTTCTGAAAATGGAATTGGCTGGTGGTTTAGGTTGAACAAGTGATCAAGGAGCAGAACATGCTGGATGCGTATGTTATGATAGAAAGCTATCTTCATCAGTTGATTGAAAGGATCAACCTCATTGACGGTCAAAAGTTCGTTTTTTCCCCCCTTGAATATATGTAGATGACATTTTACGCCATGTTTTGATTGACTTGTTCACGTTTCTGTGCGTTTGGATGCAGAACTTGTCCAGAGGAACTTACTGAGGCGGCATCGAGCTTGATCTATGCGGCTACAAGATGCGGGGACTTCCCCGAACTTCAAGAAATTCGAACATTTCTAACCTCTTGTTTTGGGAAGGAATTTGCTGCGCGAGCAGCTGAGTTGAGAAATAATTGTGGAGTTAACTACAAGGTGAGCAAAGTTTGGGATTAACAACATCTTTAGTTTTCGAGACGTCTATGTTTTCTTACGAATCTGTGTTCTTTGATTATAGATGATTCAGAAACTATCTACCAGGATGCCTAACTTGGATAGCAGAATGAAGGTGCTCAAAGGAATTGCCTCAGAGAACAGCATCATTCTGGAACTTGAAGATGTGGAGTTAGAGAGAACTGAGGTACAAACTACTATTTCAAGCCAAAAGAGTCAAAAAATCTAAATGTATTAAGTTAATTGTTAGAAAGCGAAACTACAATCTAATAGTTAGCCCTGTTGATTTGCAGGAGCCAAGACGGACTGATTCAGGACTAGATCAGCCTACACAGAGAACACCAAGTCACTCCATAGACGCAGAAAGACTTGAGGAATTCACCGAGTCAGTGAGGCTGAGGACCGAGTACAAGGATGTAGCTGCTGCTGCACAAGCAGCATTCGAATCAGCAGCTTATGCAGCCGCTGCTGCAAGAGCAGCTGTACAGCTTTCACGATCTGACTCGCAAGATCCTCATAATCCAAAAGGTCCAAAGCTACAGCCTGCAGTCTATTCCCCGAATGATGCAGCTAAATCCAATTCCCAAAGTGATTTAAGGGATTTCGAGGAACATAATGCTAGAACAAGGTCTGAAAAAATCCAATCAAAGGAGAAAGATGCTTCTAAATTTGAAGGGATGGTCAAAGCAGAACAATTCAAGGGAGGCAAGGATGAAGGGAACTTAAGAGGTCCTTATCCAGTTCCAGCGCAGAATCATTTGAAAACACTGTGAATGAAACTGAAAGAGTCGTACATAACGAGCTGCCGAGGAAAATAGAAAACCAGAATATTATTTTTGATGAAAGTGATGATGAGGCACATGGCATGAGGAGCGTAAGTCTGCGAATAAACCGTAATTTTGATGGAGAAACTACACAAAGATTGCAACACAGGAGGGATGTTTTGGATTCCAAAACTCCAGATCCCTTGGAAGGAACTGCCTCTGAAGAAAGCTACAGAAAATCTTACTCTCCATCTCATGAGCAAGTCGCTTCAGGTCCTCCAGCGAGATTCAAGATGGAACAGGTGCCAAAGAAGTTGACGACCGGAGTGGTGGGGGACTTGAAGGTGGAGAAGAGGCCTATTTCTGTCAGGACTAGAAGGACATATGGCAGGTGACAATGGGCATTTAGAGATTATAATGTTATACCGGAGGCAGACTTCTGTTGTATGTTATAGTATTCATGTTTGTGTTTTTTCATTGTTATATGCCTTTTCAGGAAGAGCTTTCTATGTACAATTTTGTTACTTTTTTGTCTATAAAGCTTACAACTATATAAAGCATGCTAGTATGCTATGGAGATTGCTGAAGCCTGAGTGCATCCATCAAAGGTACTTTAGGTAAGTAAAATTTGTAATCTATGAAAAAGAACAAGTTCAAGATGGGAAATATCTGTCTCATCATGGGCATATTCTTGAATAGGAGCAAGCTTACGGCAACTGCCGTACCTAACACAAAAATCATGGCAGACATACTTGTTCTTCTAATGGTGATCCAACTTCAGTAAAGCAAGCAAGGTGACCGCATACAGAACAGTCGATATACAAACGCATCATATCAAGATATAAAATGAACACTTAGGTAAAAAGTAATCACTCACCTTGTAGATCAGGAAATAATTTCTTTGGATTTTTGATTCACCAAGTAATGTGCAAATAAACCTCAGATTTCTGGTCATTGCAATACTACACTTTTTTTTTTTTGAAACTGCAATACTACACTAGGTAAAGAAGCTTAGACATATTTTAACGCTTGATTAGTACAACTGGATTTGAGTCTTTCACTTCAAATGCAATAGCGAAAATATACACATGAAGGTAACTAAAGCTTTAAAGAGCAGCTGTGAGCACACATACCATATTTTACCAACTATAACAAACCAGCCGAAATAACATCATATTAACAACTCCACAATCTTGTGATTCAAAATCACAGGCCTCTGGTGCGTTTTGTTCCTTGTTGCCTTAAATTATCAAAGGATTGCAAACTTACTCCAACATCTTCATCATACTCTATGCCGAGTTCTTCCTGCAGAGTTAATGCCAGTGTTGAAGCAAGATTTGCAGAAGCGACAGTCAGAGTGAATAGATAATGAGGTCATACAGTACCTTGAATTCTTTAAGATCTTTTGGTGAATTCTCAGTTATAGCATCCCATAAATCTTTAAACATCCTCTTGCGTCTTCTCCATTGATTCATCGTCTCTGTGAACATTCCTTCCACAGCTTTTCGCTCCTCAGGACTAACAAGAGTAACACCCTCCCTTAACTTAGCCAGTTTCACTTCCATGTCTTCTACCTGAAAATAAAACATTCAGATCTCATATTCTCATCTTTCCTACACTGAGGCTTGACATAGTTAAGAAGCTAAAGTTTCAGTTATGCATACCTCCTTTCTGAGTTTTGCTTCTCTGGCCCGTATCTCTTCCAATGTTAAATTTGACTGCAGAGCTTTGATTTCTGCCTTAGAGAATCAATAACTTCAATCTCATTATAAACAAACATGGTGATGTCAAAATTAATCAACAGCTTACATAAGCTAAATTCCAGTTGATAAAGGCGAAAGAAAATCAACACTATGATAAAAGGATGAAGAATGTACCTCCTTCAATATTACTGAGTTCTTTCTTTTGCTCACTAATCATTTCTTGGAGCTTAGCATTCTCTTCTTTCATCCGAGTAAGCTCTTCACTATCAGGAATGTCAAACTGATCTTGGCGAGCAAGATATATCTTCTGTTTGCCATATTCCTTGAATGAGATCCGCCCACTGTCAGCTAGAGTATCCAGAGCTTTCTGAATACCGCCCTTTTTGAGGTTGAACTTTTGGAGCGCATCAGCCACATTTTGCGAATTCAAAGGCTTGTTTTGCTGAGCGTTACAGAATCCAAAAGAAAACGAAATCAAAACGCAAAGAAATGCAAATTCGTCCCCCTAAACCTAAGCAAAACTCAGAAACTTTGAACTGAAGCTCGCTACAGTGAAGTTTTTCAATAACCCTCTCAAGCATCCTTCCCCAGTAGGAAATTCATTCATTTCAAACCATTACTCATCTCTTCAAGCCAATTAGTTCTTATTTTCAGATTTCGAAGTTCATTAAACCCTAACCCCTTGAACGCATTAAATCAAACAGAAAATCTGGCGTACCGAACTGTAAACTTATCCGAAAACAAAAAGTCGACCCCATATCAAGACGGAAACAGTAAGAATTACTATCCTGTTGTCGACGAATATTATCGGAAAACGAAGAATCAAGGAACAAGTAATTTACCTCGTTCACGAAATTGAGCACGATTCCTGTAAAATCGAAAATCAAAAAACAAATTAGCTAAGGAATTCGAGATAGAAGAAGCTCAACGAAGTATGGGGAGGAGTATGGAGGAACAAAAGAGGAATTTGGTTACCTTCGGTGCTGTCAGATTTTGGAGCCATCGTCGGAGATTGTTCGGGATGGGGAAGAAAAATGGGAGCGAGCGGGAAATAGCCGCTTCTTTGTTGTGTGTGCGGCGTACGATTGTTGATTGGCACTTTAACGCGGGCAAGCACTGTCGTTTCAATTGTTCCCGCTTTTTTGAATGTCAAATTACCAATTAAAGAAATTTGAATTGATGAGGTTGAAAATTTTGAGAAAATTTGGTGGTGGAAATATAGGTGATCATCATTTGCTTATGTGACAATGTTTGTATTGACAAATTTTTATTTTCTTTATATTAAGCACCTGGTGTATTGACAATGTTTTTTCTTTGATGTTTAGAAATATTAAAATAACTATTACAGTATATCAAACTTTTCCTGACTTTTTTTTTTCTTTTTTTTGGATACAAAGACGAATGCTTATGAGCCTAGCTAACTGTTACGTATTGACGATGGGTCACTCCAGTTATATCATGGTTTAATCATGGTCACACCACATCTGGTGGAATCTCAAGTCTACTTTTACTTACTGTAAGTTAATATTATGTGATTCTTGTTGCCATTACTAAGCGGTGTTCATTATGGATAATCAGTTTGGCTTTGAAAAATCAAAATTGACAAGATGAAAAACCATGTCTTACAAAATATGAATAACTGGATAAATGAATGATAATGTGACATAGAAGGAAATCGGATTCAAAGTTTAATTTAAATATTCATGTGTTGTCATCAAAAAAAAAAAGTCATAAAAAAAAATCATGTGCTTATAAAAAAAAAAATCATGTGTCACCCATTTCGTTATTTACATGTACTATATAACTATTTGTTCGGCCAGTTTTTGAATATTTGGGCCGATGGGTGATGTTGATGATAGCCCATGAGTTTTTGTGAATTTATGTGATTATGACTGAAATTTTAAGGCTCTAAAATAGCCAAAAAGGGGCCAGAATATGTTGATTGAGTGTGAACAGATTCAGAATTAGAAAAAGAAGGTAGAAGCCGAGTAGGAATAGAATTGCTCCAAAATCGGCCCCGTGATCAATTGGCAAATAAGGGAGATTCAGAATTGAATTCAGCCGGGGTTGATTTTGCTGCTACGAGTAAGATGAAGCTATCATCAATTGAAGTTAGCTCAAGGAACATGTTTCAAGATCAAAAGAATGAATCTTCTGATGATAGCCGTGTTCGACAATCTGGTTTTGTAGCCGACATAGCTTCAGATTTTTCAAATCTCAGTGACCAAGAACAAGGCTGGTTGATAATGCTTTACAATAGTAGGACTAAAGACACTTCGCCAGCAGCCGATGGAATATCAGAGGGGTCAATTTGTAATGATCAGCAGCTTGGTGCGACCGTCGCGTCAGCTTCTACTTCTTCGCAGTTCAGTCAACAAAATAAAAGCATACTAACAACACTCAGTACTAACAACACTCAGTGTTGATCATGCCAAAACAAGCACAACCACGTCATCAGGGGCTGGCGAAGTATGCACAGACCTGATTTGCAATGATAGTGATCAAACTCGGCAGCTTGATTTGTCGGCCGATTCTGTTTCTCTTGAGCAACTGGATCAAGACTATTTGGAGACACAAGAGGATGAACGTGCTAATATGGGCAAGATCAAGTTGCGAGAAGTAGAGATTGTCCCACAAAAGGTGGCTAATGGTAATAAAAGTCAAGTTCAGCATACCGATTCTAGTGATGACTGAGCTGAGCAAACGGTTGCTTCTTTGCAAGCCAAAAGATGCTCTAATCATGCATGGATTTATGGCAAGAAAGGTTCCATGAGGTCCAACAATAAAAGGTGTAAAGGTAAGTCCATGCAACATTCTTTTTGTCACGTCGATAGAGCCAAGTCCGCAAACTCTTTATCTGGGGCCGATTCTCTTTGTATTGATGCCAAATCCAATAAGAATCAAGAGGAGAAATATATTACTTGGCTGGATTATGGTGCTACTGTAGAATGGAAGTTTGAGTTGACCGCTGATCAGAGGATCCTGAAATCATTAGCTGGTCAAGAGAAAAGGCGTTACACTTGAGCTTATGCTAAACTTTTTGGGTCTACACCAAAGAGAATCAGATCATTTTATGTTGAAAAGATAGTGGTCAAAAAGGATGCTGATATGAAGCCGATGGTTGATGAGAATAGAGATAGCAATGAAGATAATCGGTTGAAGAAGGATGAAGTAAAGATAAAAGTCATCAAGCCGATTGAAAAACAACGGGTCGAGTCACAATTGAAAGAAGGTAATTGTCACCTCATTCATGCGGTATTAAGTGAAACCAATGTGGCGTCAACAATCAACAAAGAAAAGAGCTGCAAGCAGACCAGTTCTAATAAAGTTAGTGGTTCGGCCATCTCTTGCCCAGCTTTCATACAGTTTGGTCAGTCAGAGGTAAGATGTGACCAGCTGATTAATTTTCCATTGATTGTGCAAGGTCAAGATTCGCTAGCAGTCACTGACAAGGAAGGCGCCAAGGAAAATGGTTCTAATATAGTCATTAGTGTTACAACGACGAATCCAGTTCTTAAGAAGTTTAACAACTAGTTTGAGGTACGGCACGAGAGGGTGACTACTTCTTCAATTGAATTTACAAGGTCGACACTTGTCAACAGTTACAAAGGAGGTCAAGAACAAAGGTGTTGTTCCTGGTTTTAAAGTTCAAGATGACGAGAAGCAAAAAGTGAATAGTGCTTTGTGTTCTCCTACTTCATATGGCCGGTTCAGTCCAAAATCGGGCCTCAGTGTTAACATGGCTCAAGAACAGAAGAATCGTAGAAGTTATCCGCGAAGGCAAAGATCACAAGATTCTAAGTCTAGTTCCAAAACTGTTAGTGGGTTTAAGAGAAAGTTTCATCCGTCGCAAAGAAGTAAGTATGCACCATTCTTTAATCCGTATAATTCACATTATGCGTGGGTACCATATTATGCTATGTATCTGGTGGGATGGTGTTATGTGGATCTAAGGGCCACGTGGAATGCGTCTGGCTGATGGTAGCGAAGTGTTTATCAATGTTCATATCAAAGTCATATTTAATATGAACGTTCGGGGGGACATTATGTTCAGCAGTTTTTGGATATTTGGGCCGATGGGTGATGTTGGTGATAGCCCATGAGTTTTGGCGAATTTATGTGATTATGGATGAGATTTTAAGGCTCTGAAATAGCCCAAAAGGGGGCCAAAATACGATTGGGGATCAATATGGGTTGATTGAGTGTGAACAGATTCAAAATTAGAAAAAGAAAGTAGAAGCCGAGTGGGAATAAAATTGCTTCAAAATCGGCTACGCGGTTAATTGACAAATAAGGGAGATTTCTCCTTATTTCTTGCTCCTTTTAATAAGGGGAATTACCAGTAATTAAAGAGATATATTTGGAAAATGATTCTATTACTAAATTAAGAGCTGATTGTGAGAATAGTCATCAACCGATTGAGAGACTGCTGTGGGAATAATATCCTATTTTCGAGAAAATTGACCATGTTAAGCTAACTTTCTCCAAGGATTCATAGGGCAGCAAGGGTTTCATCCCAGCACTATAAATAGAGGCAGCCATGAAGAGAAAATTATGACCGATCAACCATAAAATTGGTTTTCTTTCTTTCTTGTACCGTTTACCATGTTTTTACCTTCCTTATGGTAGTTCACCACGTTCTATCATACTTGCTTAGCTTCTAGCTTAGCAATAGAGTTGTTTGCCTTTTTCTCCTACATAGAATTAGGTAGGTGTTCACCGTTTTCTCCTCCAACGAATTCGGTTATGCTGTAGTATGTGTTCTAACACTTATGTATATCGGACTACCCTCTGCACGTCCGTCATGTCATTGTCTTCTATGTAATATCGTGTCATCGGCACCATCTATAGCTTGTTGGCACTAGGATTTTCTACTTTATGAGTCAAACGCTGTCTCTTCGGCTTTTCCCCACGTTCTCTAGTTTCTACCTATGTTTCTCAAACTAAAGCCAATAACCCCAAGTCCTCAATTCTAGTCCGAGGCTGGTTCGAACTCAACCATAATCGTCTGATTTAATTGTATTTTAGGTGATTCTTGTTCCCCTTTTTTCCCACGGTTTCGGGTGCACAATTTTCACGCAAACACTATTCTCGCAAAAGACACGAGATATTACTTCATTTAGGGGTGTTAGTTAAACGGGTGCACCCGAAAAACCGCCCGACCCGAATTGAATTCGGGTCAAACGGGTCGGATTTGCGGGTCTTCAGGTCGGTTTTCGGTTTTAACCGAATGAAAGTGACGGTTTTCTGGGCCGTTTTGGGTTTGAGATTTTAGTTTCGAGACCCGCCCGAAACCCAAACTAATTTATTGTATTATATAATTTCTATACTTATTTTTATGGAAGTATAAATTGATTTTACATTTTCTAACTAGGCTTTCACTTTTACTTTGACATCTCCACCGCCCGCTTCTTTTCTCTTCTCTCTTGAAGCCATGGCCGCCGCCCTTCACCCTTAACCTTGACCAGCAAAAATCATCCCCCACTCCAAAATCGATTTCAGATCTACCTCACAAGAGTCACAACCCTTAACCTTGGCTGCATCTCTTTAATTTTTTTTGATTGACAAGTTTAGAATAGTCATTTGTTGATTGTAGATCCGGTCAGTCGGCTCCACTCCGATCATTTGCTTACGATTGTAGCTCCACTCCGGTCAATCGGCTCCGGCAAGCGACGCCTCCCTCTCAAATCTCAAGGTTGGTTAGTATGCCATTCTTTCTTGTCTGAAACACTTTCTTTCTGATGGCTTTGGCCTTTGGGCCTTTGGGGAAAGAAAAATCCTTTATTCTCTTGTTATTTCTTTACAAGAAAAATTATTGATTAGTTAATTAGATTACATGGATTATCACCTGAGATTTCTTGTAATAGGCTGCCTAGATTTCATACTGAGATCAAAATTATAATTATTTCTTGTAACAGGCTGCCTAGAATTTTTTTTTTGGGGACAGTTTTCCCACTGCTTCTCTTGTGTTAGTTGTTAATTGTTACTGTAGGTTTAATATAATATTTTTTCTATATTCTTTGGTTTCAGATGTCTACTTTGCTGAGTACTGATGCGGTGATGATCAATTTGGAATTTGTCAATTATGCTGATGTGAAATTAGAAGATGTCAAGGTAGACGGTGATGGGCAGTCACCGAAGTCACCGAGGACACGAAGAGGTCGCCAAAGATCTAAGGTTAGGGCTCATTTCAAAACTTTCACAAATAAACAAGATGAGAAGAAAAGTAGATGTCGATATTGTGGAAATGAGTACCATTCTGAAACAAAAAAAAAATGGAACGAGTACCCTTAAGGCACATTTGACATCTTGTAAGAAAATGCCTTCTAATATGGATTCAAAGCAGACACAGTTAGTACTTGAGGGTGGGATTGATGGGGGTAATGTGCATGTTGGGGCTTGGAAGTATGATGATGATGAAGTTTAAAAGGCACTTGCATATATGGTTATTGTAGATGAGCTGCCTTTTAAATTTGTGGAAAAAAAAAGGATTTTTATACTTCATGCAAAAATGTCAGCCTTTGTTTGTTCGTAAGGGTAGGCTTACCATTGCTAATGAATGCTACAAGTTGTATTTGGATGAGAAGAGTAAGCTTAAGGCTGAAATTAGAGATAATATTGGTAGAGTTTGTTTAACAACCGATACATGGACTTCTTTGCAAAAAGTGAACTCTATGACTCTCACTGCTCATTATATTGACAATGATTGGAAATTGAGAAAGAGAATTCTGAATTTTTGGCCAATAACAAGTCATAAGGGAGATGATATTGGGAAGGCAATTGAAATGTGTTTGCTTGATTGGGAAATTGACAATGTTTTTACTATCGCTGTGGATAATGCTACTGCGAATGATTCAGCTATGAAATATTTGAAAGAACAGTTTGAAAATTGGGAAAAATATATTTTGGGAGGAAAATGGCTGCATGTTCGTTGCATTGCTCATATCATGAATTTAATAATTAAATCTGGTTTGGAAAATATTAGTGTGTCCGTTGAAAGAATTAGGGCTGCTGTCAAGTACATTAGGCAATCTTCACAGAGAATTGAAAAGTTCAAAAAATTTGCTGAGATTGAAAAGTGTCAAAGCACTAAGAATCTGACTTTGGATGTGCCTACAACATGGAATTCTACCTATTTAATGTTAGAGACAGCTCAACCTTATGAAAGGGCTTTTAAGAGGTATGAATCAACAGAGTCACATTATAAAGAGACTCTTGCGAAGGTTGTTAGGCGCAATGAGAAAGGTGAAGAAGAAAAAAACAGGGCCTGGGGTGCCTACTTCTATTGATTGGAATGAGGCCAAAATATTTGCAGGTATCCTTCAACCTTTTTATGAGTTTACTTTGAAAGTCTCTCAAACTAAATCTGTATCTTCAAATTTTTACTTTGAGGGTGTTACTTTCATTGAGGCTCTTTTAAGGAAACTTATCAATGAATCAGAAGATTCTAGCATCTCTTTAATGGCAGAGATGATGAAGGATAAATTTGATAAATATTTTGGCAATTTTGAAACTTGCAACATGGCTTTGTTTGTGACTTGTGTTCTGGATCCTAGGAACAAACTTGAGTATTTAGAAATTGTTTTGAATGATGTGTATGGTAAAATAGATGGCAAGTCAAGAAAAAACCAGATTGAAAGTGAACTACATGACATGTATGCTGATTATGTGAAGTTACATAACCTGGAACGTAGTTCACATTCTCCCCCTCCAGAGTCATCTCAATCTTCTTTGGGAAAAAGGAATTCGCCCATTGATGTACAAGCTTCAAAGATGTTGACAGAAAAGTTCAGAATGCAATTGAAGAAGAAGAAAATTGAGGCTGGTGGTATGAATTCAAAGTCAGAGTTAGATAAATACTTGAAAGAAGATCTTGAAGAAGATGATGGAAAGTTTGAGATTTTGAATTGGTGGAAGGTTAAGAGTCCTAGATTTCCCATTCTATCTATGATGGCTCGTGATCTCTTAGCCATTCCTATATCAACAGTGGCTTCCGAATCTTTTTTTAGTACAAGTGGAAGATTCTTAGATGCTTTTAGAAGTTCTTTGACTCTGAAGGTAGTTCAAGGACTTATTTGTGCTCAAGATTGGCTCCGTGATCCTACAGAGAAGCCAGAGATTGTGAAGGTTGAAGAAACTTGGGAAGACCTTGAAACAGTGATAAAAGGTAATAATTTAAAAATTATAGAGTAATATTTAAAGTTAACGTGTATTTTTTTTATTTGTTACTTACAATAACTTCTTTGGTTTTTTGTTTACCAACTGCAGATTTCATTCCAAAGGACAGTGGCATAAATTTAGATTTGCCATGATTCATTATCTTTTTGTCAACAGGTGATTTTTCTCATTTAATTTTGTGGTACTTGACATAATTTGATTTGCACCTCTCTTCTGATTCTCTACTTGTCTACTTTATAACTCTTTCATCATTAACACTTCCAGGAAATTGGCTTAAGACTTTGAAGAAAAGAAGCCTGTTGGAGTTTTGTGATGATTGCTTGCTTATCAAATTTAAAAGGGCCGAGGAGGAATGTGGAACTAGAAGCATCTAAGAAGACTTTGCTGTTGATGTTTTTCTTTTATTTGTTGTTGAAGGAAAACTTTAATTCCATTGATTTATGTTAAAATTCGTGGCTGTTTTTGGATCTTATTTATGTTCGGATTGGAATTTTTAAGACTTTTAATTGTATTAAGCTACTGTTTTGGTTTGATTCGGTTTGATTCGTGGCTAAAGGAAAACAATTTTTTTGTTGCATTTGATTCGGTTTAAGAGTAAACCGACCGATTAACCCGATCGGTTTTTCAGTCGGTTCGGTTCGAATTTTTTTACTATCGTTTCGGTTATTGGATGGTTTAAACAGTCTCAAAAACCCGATTCAACTGAAATGAATAACAGCCGAACCGACCGAACCGACTGAATTAACATCCCTAACTTCATTTGTGGTTTCATTTCGGAAAAATAATCTACTCTCTCAGTCCATGATGTTTTTTTGGGACGGAATGCAATCAATAGTGAAATATTTGTAGTTAAATATGTGTGCTTTATACTCACAAAGAAAATAACATTTAGTGGGTTGATTGAATAAAGTAGTTTAGGCCATGTTTCTGTGTTACTGTGTTCCATAATCCCCACCCGGAAATACTTGAATATTGGCTCACCACGTCGGCCAATTCGGAGGAACAAATCATCTGAAGTTCTGAACTGAATTTGGCCCATTCTCAGCTAAAATTACACAATTAAAACGGCGAATTTCACTGGTTGCTCCTGCTGGCGGTTGAGAATACTTGCGGTCATGTTGCCGTCGGCAACTCTTTGGTGCCGGCCATTTAGTTCTGCACGGCCTTCGTCGGCTCCCAGAATCTCAAACGGCATCGCAGAGCGTAAAAAAACCCAGAAATGGGACGATAATTCTAATATCAATTCTAAACAGTTGATGACCAGGAAGAAGATGATGGGGTTCAATTTGGGAGGAAGTCAACTTCTTATGAGCAATGTGAATCGCCGGAGTACAACCATTGCCGGAGTTGGCCGCGGCGGTTCAGTCACGGAATTGGATGATAACGTACGGAAATTTCTCCAAGTTGCTCTGTGGGCTACTGAAGCTGTCTATATTGTGTGGCTTTTCTTGCTCCCGTATGCCCCAGTACGTTCCCAATCAAATTTATTAATTTCCACCCTTTATGGTAGATTTTTTCTGGGATTTGAGTTTTAGATTCAGAATTCTTATGTTCTTTCAGTACTAATATTTCTATTCTGTTCATGCCTGAAAATTTGGAGCCTGTTATGTTGATTGTGTTAAGAGACATTGAGCTCACGCAAGTTCTGTTATACACTTTAATACTGCAGGGGGATCCTGTATGGGCCATTAGTTCAGAGACGATCAATTCCTTAATCGGCCTTTCTCTCAATTTCTTCTTTGTTCTGCCTTTCTTAAATGCTGGTGCGTTGCCAAAATTTTATTTGTTTGCCTGAAACTCTTACAATGTTATGGTTTTCCTCTTCATTTCCAAAAAACCTTTTAACCCCTTATTTCGTCTTGGATATTATCTTTGCATATTGTTCATATGTGCAGTAATCAGTGTTCACTAGAATGTTAATATTTGTGTGTACTAAGTTCCTTCCAGTCCCTTATTTCTGCGATAACTTTTGGCAGAGTAGTTGGAGTTCACTTGCTGGAGGGACCAGTCCTTCACCCGGTAATGCTTAAATTCTAAGTTACTTTTTTGGATCAGAGATCAGTCAGCCTTGTCAATTTTGGAATGAGCTCACCTCTAAAGCTCTAACATTGAGTTCATTTGTGTTGTTCCTCAGATGTCTGAGGGCTTATTCAACTTTGTGATTGCTTGGACCTTGCTATTTGCACCATTGCTGTATACTGATCGGAGGAGAAATAGCTACAAGGGTTCACTGGACGTCTTATGGGGATTTCAAATGTTCCTCACAAACAGTAAGAACTCCTTAACTATTTACACTAATACAAGGATAAAATCCCCACTTTTTTTTTTTTTTTTTGTCTTTCTTCAAAGAACTAGTTAAATCATATACCATTATTTTGTCATAAAGTTTGAGGCTTGAATGAGGAATGATGCATCTACTGGTGATCCAACTTCTTTAACAGATAGAGCCTGATAGGTTGCCGCTGTAATTGTGCTCGTAACTAACGTTTCAAAACTTTCATGAGATTTCTCTTGGAGATTGCTTTGGATTTTTCTTTCGTCTTGCTTTGCCTCTCTGTCATTCTCACTTAGTGGCCGGTTTTCATTGCTAATTCTTGGCTGTTTTGTATTGCAGCTTTCTTGATACCATATATGGCTCTCCGTCTGAACAAGGGTGATGAGACTCGTACTAAAAGGAAGACCTCGCCCCTCGGTTCCGTAATGATTAATGGTGCATCAGTTGTTGGATTGACCGGTGCAGCTGTTTGTCTGTTATCTGTTTTGTGGGCAATTTACGGACGTGCGGATGGAGATTTTGGCAATATATCCGAGAGATTGGATTTTTTAGTGAATTATCTTGGTTCCGAAAGGCTTGCATATGCCTTCATTTGGGATATAGTCCTCTACACGATATTTCAGCCTTGGTTGATAGGTGAGAACCTACAGAACATTCGAAAAGACAGTGTTAAAATAGTCAGTTACCTCAGATTTGTGCCGGTTGTGGGCTTAGTGGCCTACTGTATATGTTTGAATGTGGAGGAAGATTCATAGCTGTAATGTTCTAAAATCACATGTATGATAAATCTATTTCCTCTGATATCCATTTTTTATTAAAAGAAAAATTCCTTGATATCAGTCTGTGCTGGCCATTGGTATCATGGATGGAATTTCCATGTTTCCCTTTATTCAAGTTGTGCAGATGTTCCAAGTGTTTCTGAGCTTCAACTTAAACACGGAGGTTAAGGTAGCAACTATTGACCTAGATGCTATGAATGGAGAACACTACTAGGACATTTACAAGAAAGTTTTTCATATTCGTTTTCAACTTTGAGTTCAGGAGCAAGCATGATGTGAAATCTTCTAAAGCATGGAAGTCTTCAGATTCCAAGCCTTCTTGAGCTGATGACACATTGAGACTTTTGGATCAAGTAAAAGTAAAAGAAGCAGCTAATCTGAAAGTAACTTCCAATAAATCCTCCAATAAGATAATACAATCCGCAATCTCATAAACTTGCTTAAAAAAATGGAATTGAACTGTTTTTAGCCAATTATGAGGTCAAATTGCCACCACTCTGCTGCCATAGGTTGATAATGTCAGTTGCTTGATTCAAAAGGATGATCATTTTCTTCTGGGATATCCATGGCTTGCTCTCTAGAGTAGCTTTGAGCTCTTCCCAAGCATCTTTCCTTGGCCAAAAGAAGTAAGGACTGAGAGGAACAGTTCCATAGCCAGGTATCCTTTGATCCAGTGACAAACCAATGTTCTTCTCCATCCATATGAACTTCAACACAAGCTCAGGCTTCGGCTTCTGTGCTTTCTTCGCCACAATTTCTTCCACCTGGAAAGCAAAAAAAAAAAAAAAAAAAACAAAAACCCAAGAATCAAAAAAGAAAGCCTCAATAAGGATCAACACATATAAAGAAAGAAAGAGACAGGAAGTAGGAATAATACATACTGCAGGGAGGATGGTTTCCTGTGGACTCTCAGGGGGAGTTTCTACTGCAACTTCTTCTGCAGTAGCTGAAGCATGAAGCTTCTGAATTCTGCTAATTGGTTTGGTTTTGATACTTAGAAGGATTGATGGGTGCTGAGAACCAGCTTTGTTAGGCCTAAAAGAAGAGTCTTGTGGAGGAATGATGCAGGAGAATTTCTGGGATGGAAATGAAGGACATGTTAAAGTGCTCCTAACACCAGATTGAACTGACATGGACAACATTTTCTGAATTCTTCCCTGAACAGAACAAGATGGCAAGAAAGACAGGTACAGGAGGAATCTATATGAATTGGAAGAACCTCTAAAGATTAAGGTTGTTTAGAGGAGTTGCTTCTTGTTTGTTCACTCAGGATAAGGTATCAGATCAGGTTACTGTTTGAGTTACTGATGGGAGAGAAGAACTGAACATAAAATTTGGATGGGCCAATGGGCTTTAATCTGTTTCGGCTACATTAGTAAGCCCAACATGATATTGGAAATGAAATCCTCATTGACTTGTCTAAATTTTAATTTTTGTCAGTTTTTTTTTTGTTGATATTTTTGGGTTATTCTTTTAGTACTATTTTTATTTTTTCCTAACAAACAATTTGGAGCGTTCAGAATTTCAGATCGCCAGCCCAAATGCCTATCGCCCCTCACACCGAGAACAAGAAAAGTTCTCCTAGGCCAAGTCCATAAATTAACCTGATTGAATTCTAGAGTCGTCTCATTTATTAGGCAAGAATTAGTTTTTTTTTTTTTTTTCGAAACATTGTTCCGGACTAATCCAAATTTGAGTCGGATTAATTTATTAAAATTGCTAAATCTCCTTTTTAAAATTGTAAATTTATCAATTCGGTAAGTTAAAAGCCAATCTTTACCGTGAAAATGTGCATAACAAGGAAAAGAGCATTAATGCCAGATTTCAGAGTGTTGTCCAATTAAGAAAATGATTGAAATTTGTGAGATTGAAAATAAAACCATTGGCCGAGAAGATAGTTTAATGGGCACGTCCATTATCATCGCGATACATCAATTTCTTAATAAGATTGACATTAAAATTAATGAGTTCAAATTATAAAGAGAATCTTTTTATTTAAAATTTTCTAATAACCCCAGATCTTAACGTATTCTTTTAAACCTTAAAAGGTACTCTTCCACCACCTCCTCCTCCCCCGAAATGTTGCATATGATTACAACGTATTATCAAAACTTATCTCTCACAATAGTTGTAATAGGATTTGATTTTTTAAAGTATTTAATAGTAGTTTTTTTTTTTTTTTTGGTATAGTTAACTAAAGTTTATTTTTATCAGAATGACCTAGTTTAGACTTGATATTTTATGCGGGAAAAATTTTAACTGCAACACGACACATTAAATTAACTTTTTCTTGGCATTTATTTTAATAGTATATATCGATTTGATTTTTTTAATGTATTTAATAGTAACTTTTTTGTATAGTTAGTTAAAGTGTATTTTTATTAAAACGACATGATTTAGACTTGAATTTTTCAATTAGAACAATAATTATTTTTAATAGTATATATGTAGATAAATAGATTTGATTTTTATCAAAATGATGTAGTTTATATGTGATGTTTTAAGCGGGAAAATTTTTAACCACATAGCAACCTCATATTTCATTCTCTCTTGAACGGTTATTTTAATAATAGTATATATATGGATTATTGGACAAGAAGAAGATGATTCTTTTTTTTTTTTTTTTTCTTTTTGAAGATACAATAAGATGGTTCTAATTAGAAAAATGATGTGGTTATTTGTAGTGCTACAATTTTCTAGTACTAAAAAGGAATTTGTAAATAGATTCACACAATTCATCCAAATAAATATAAAGTAGTAATATTCATTTCTACAAATTAAGACCATTAATTTCAGAAATTCATATAGGTCTCCGCTATACAAACCAGATAAAAAGAAAAACACATTTCAAGAATGGAAAATTCCGAAGCTCCGACCAACGGTTCCGGTAATGTCACCGCCGGCGACCATGTACCGGAAGTCAGTGTACACCCCGACGACCCTGCTCCAGCCCAAATGATACCCGACCCATCTGTTTCAGGACTGCCGCTCTACAAACCATCTGAAGCGATTCAGATGTCCCAACCCTCCTCGGAACCCCAACCCCACTCTGAACCGGCCGCAGCCGAGGACCCCGGTCCACCGCCTCCGAAGAAAAGACGCCGCCGGAAGAAATTATATACCGATATGGTATCCACTATTGCTGCCGCCGCCGGCCTCCGCATCCTCCGGCCCCACCCTAAACCTTCCACCACTTACTCCTACTCTGAAACTGACCTCGCAGAAGAACCCGGCGACGGAAGACCCCAAATTCTCCATAGACGCCGTAGCGGCGGGAGCAATAACAAGCTATCGGACCTCGACAAAGAGGTAGACATCGAAGCTCTCATCGCTATCTCTGTTGGTTTCCCTGTCGATTCATTAACAGAGGAAGAAATTGAGGCTAATGTCGTCTCCCAAATTGGCGGCTCCGAGCAAGCGAATTACATTGTCGTCCGGAATCACATCCTCGCCCGGTGGCGGTCCAACGTCTCCCTTTGGCTCACAAAGGATCATGCATTGGAGTCTATTAGAGCCGAGCACAAAGCCCTTGTCAACTCAGCTTACTCTTTCCTTCTGCATCATGGATATATCAATTTCGGGCTGGCCCCAGCGATTAAAGAAATGAAGTTAAAACCTCCTGAAGGTGCTCCGAAGGGCACTGTGATCGTGATTGGTGCAGGGCTTTCAGGTTTAGTTGCCGCGAGACAGTTAATTTTTCTGGGATTTAAAGTTGTGGTTTTGGAGGGTCGGGCTCGGCCTGGTGGACGAGTTCGAACGAAGAAAATGAGTGGTGATAAGGATAGCATTGAGGCTGCGGCTGATTTGGGAGGGAGTGTGCTGACTGGGATTAACGGGAATCCTTTAGCAGTTCTCGCAAGGCAGCTGGGAATTCCTCTTCATAAGGTGAGGGATATGTGCCCTTTATATCTGCCTAATGGTCGAACTGTTAATTCAGATATCGATTCTTGTGTTGAAGTTTCATTTAATAAGCTGTTAGATAGAGTTTGTAAGCTTAGACAGGCAATGTTGGAAGAGGTTAGATCAGTAGATGTTTCATTAGGGGTAGCATTAGAGACATTTAGGAGAGTATACAATGTAGCTCAGGATCCGCAGGAAAGAATGCTCTTGGATTGGCATTTGGCTAACTTGGAGTATGCAAATGCCTCGTTGATGTCTAATTTGTCAATGTCTTATTGGGATCAAGATGATCCGTATGAGATGGGCGGGGATCATTGTTTTCTTCCTGGTGGTAATGAGACGTTGGTTAGGGCACTAGCTGCGGACCTTCCAATCTTTTATAATAGACCCGTGGAAAGAATTAGCTATGGTGCCGATGGGGTTTTGGTGAGTTCTGGCGGTCAGGCATATCAAGGGGATATGGTACTTGTTACTGTTCCGCTAGGCGTGCTTAAGAAGAATGTAATTCAGTTTGTTCCAGACCTTCCGCCGAAGAAAAAAGATGCAATTGAGAGATTGGGATTTGGATTGTTGAATAAAGTTGCAATCTTGTTCCCATATGACTTCTGGGGCGGAGATATTGATACTTTTGGGCATTTGACTGATGATTCAAATACAAGGGGTGAATTTTTTCTGTTTTACAGTTATAATTCAGTTGCAGGCGGTCCACTTCTTATAGCTCTCGTGGCTGGAGAAGCGGCCATCAAGGTCGAAATGATGTCTCCAGTTGAGGTTGTCCAGAAGGTTCTTGAAATTCTGAAGAGTATATTCAGCCCAAAAGGGATAGCAGTTCCAGACCCAGTACAGGCAGTTTGTACTCGTTGGGGACAGGATCGGTTTTCCTATGGCTCTTATTCTTATGTTGCAATTGGGGCATCAGGAGATGATTATGATATTCTTGCTGAGAGCATTGCAGACCGAGTATTCTTTGCTGGTGAAGCAACTAATAAGCAGTATCCAGCGACTATGCATGGAGCTTTTCTGAGTGGAATGAGAGAAGCTGCTAATATTTTGAGGGTCTCTAAGAGGTGGTCGTCAATTGTTCCAGCTGACCGATCTAGCAATGGAAGTCTGGAAAAGGAGGATATTGACAACTTGTTCAGTACTCCCAACCTTGCGTTTGGCAATTTTTCGGTGCTGTTTGATCCCCGGTCATCAGATTTAGAGTCCAATTCTCTGCTAAGAATAGCCTTAAATGGTGCGAAATCTGGCTCTGGTGGTGGACTTTATCTTTATGGCTTGATGCCGAGGAAACAGGCGATTGAACTTAGTAAGCTGGCAGGGGATGTAGAGCGTATAAATATGGTTGCTCACAATTTTCATGTGAAATTGGTCGGGAGAAAGGGTTTGAGTAGCGAAGCCGAATCTCTCCTGAAATTGGTGAGATCCAGCAGATCAAGTTAATTTTTAGCTAGGATTCATGCTAATGATTTTGGTTTGTAGATCCATGGGTGGATGATCCTTTTTAATCATCAGGTTTTAAAACATGCGGAGTCATCAATATGTATCTGTTCATTCTAACAGAAAAATTCGGCTGCTGTTCTATTAATTACTTAACATTAGTCAAGTTAACCATGCTTTACCTGTTAGGGTGAAAAATTGATTCAATTCATTATCCTGCTCTATAGATTGCATGTCTGGTTGAAAATTTTCATTTGGTGTTATGATGCCCTTCTCATTGGATTGATTTTAGCCCCATTCAATTCATATTCCTTGTGTGTTTGCCTTTTGGGTTTCATTTCTTACTGTGATTGGGGTTCTGCTGGATTTAAAAAATTTCAGCAGCCTATTCAGAACTTCTCTGGAATTTGGACCAAACAGTGTTTCAGTAACATTTCCTGTGACAGAGTTTACAAAATTCTTGTTTTGATACAGCTTGTGTACGACATAGATCAATATGACTTAACAATTAAGGACCTGCACATATATACATATATATGTCACGTTCTTACATTTGACTGTGTCCTAAACTAGTAAGATTATTACAACTAAGCAGTCGGTGGAATGGTGTGCCGTGGGGGGCTTGATTACTGGGAAAGGAGATAGTTTCCAAACTACAGAAACATTCAAATTTGATTCATGGGATGTTCCAAAGGAAAGGGGCAACCTTTACTAATCATTTTATTTGGGTCGCTTTTTGTTCATTGGGATGTTAGTCTCAAGCACGTTTACAAGCTTCCAGTTTGATCGAGCCTGTAGCTTTTACTCTCTTTGACCATAAAATAATTAGAACAACGTACAAAAACTTGTATGATAGGGAAAAATCATAGACAAAACAATAGTTTGTTTCCTTCCTTTTCTTTTCTTTTTTGGATAGAAGAGTTAAATGTAGAAATGGTCCATTAATAAATGCTTGTTTGGATTTATTTTATCTTTTAATATTTGATAACCGTCTTTTTTTGATCCGCACATTTTAGCTTGAAGTGTTTGCTAGGGGCCAAAAAAGAAACCGTAAACTCATCCCTTTTCATCATTTAAAGCCAAGTCGAGGGAAAGAGTTTTCACAATATTCAGTTCATTGTAAGAACATCCATGGACGACAGCCGGGAAAATCTGCTTTCGATTCCTATCTTAGAAGATTATAGTGCTGGTGAAAGATATGGTTGCAGCAGATGTTGCATGCTACCGCTAGATAGCTTGGCAAAGTCTTATGATTACGTGAACGATTTTCTGAAGAAAGCACTGGAAACGGGACGATCTGACCCCCGAAAAATAATTTACGGCATCAAGATGGGATTCGCATTAGCTCTTGCATCTCTGCTTATGTTCTGGGAAGTTTCATTTACCGATTTAGGCCAGTATTCCATCTGGGCTATCATCACAGTCATCGTCATGTTTGAGTATAGCATAGGTATTCATCAGATAAACTCCCTTTTTTGCATCTCTTTCTGTCTCAGTTTTCCTGAAGTGATTGAATTTCTGCTTGTTGGTTGATTTTTGTAGGTTCAACATTTAGTAAAGGATTCAATCGAGGTTTAGGAACACTTGGTGCTGGAATGCTTGCTTTCATTTGGGCAGAGATAGCCGTGCAGTCCGGACAACGGGCTAAAGAAGTTATTCTCATTAGTTTCTTCATCACAGGTACATATGCAAATTTGATTTGTAGATGACCATACAATAAAGGACTCCTCCTCTATGATTTCCAGTTAATCTTGGCCTAATGATTAAACTCTTATTGATTATATTACAGGATCGATAGCATCATATTTCAAACTCTACCCCAGCATGGCACCTTATGAGTATGGATACAAAGTGTTTATAATGACCTTCTGTATCCTCATGGTGGCTGGAAATAGGAGCAAACATTATACGGTGGCAATCCTTACTCGATTATCACTCATTGCTTTAGGTGGTCTCATTTGTTTCATTGTGAACACCAGCATTTGCCCTGTCTGGGCTGGAGACGATTTACGCTCCTTGGTGGTGAAAAATTTCGAAGATCTTGCAGCTTCTCTGGAAGGTCTGATTTGGTTTTCTAACTCTGTTTCCCCTGTTTCTGCTCTGGTTCAGCCTATTAACTGAATCAATCTGGTAAACCTTTGACAGGCTGCGTTGATGGTTACTTGAAAGGGGTGGAATATGAGAGAATCCCATCGAAAATTGTCATGAACCAAGACTCTGATGATCCATTGTATAAGGGATACAGATCAGTATTAGAGTCCAAAAGCAAAGAACAAACTCTGGTATGATGTCAAAGTTATTCTCTTCCACTTCTTGATCTTCTGTGCCAGCTTAACAACAAGAAGTCCAAGTTCCTAATTAACACGGATTTATTCCTCCATTGAACAGTTTGGTTTTGCAATATGGGAACCTCCCCATGGACGTTTCAAACCATGTCACTGGAAAAGCTATGTCAGATTGAGTAATGCAGTGAGGCATTGTGCATTCACAGTCATGGCATTGCATGGATGCGTCATGTCGGAAATTCAGGTTTCAAAAACAGTTATTTTGTAGGTCCAACTATTATATTGTCTCATTCTGAACATCGATACTAAAGTGAATCTCCTTCAGGCACCAATGGAGAAGAGAATTCTTTTCTATAATGAATTGAAGAAAGTTGGTGCTGAGGGTGCAAAGGTTTTGCGTAAAATAGGAAGCAAAGTGGAGAAGATGGAAAAATTAGGCCATGAAGAAGACATGCTTAAGAAAGTGCACAAAGCAGCTGAAGAGTTACAAAAGATCATCGATGCTCGATCATACCAACTAGTGAATACAGAAAACTGGCCTATTCGAAGGCATCCTCACGAGGAAGATGATGATCAAGAAATGGAAGATCAGAAAAATCTACTACTCAAATCCCACAGCGAAACTGCTGTTGACCTGATGAGAGCAAAGAATCTACCAGCAACCCTTCATTCTTCTTCATATGTCTTTTTGAAACCATCATACGAGAAACAAATTCCATGGCCATCACCTATGACATTGGATGCAATTGGATTAGGCAAAGACGACGAAATTAGGACATATGAAAGTGCAAGTGCAATGTCATTGGCTACATTTGCTTCCCTTCTAATCGAATTTGTTGCAAGAATTCGGCATGTTGTCGAATCATTTGAAGATTTATGCGAGAAAGCAGAGTTTAAAGAACCTGTTCACATCTGAGAAATGTTATAACTTGTAAACTTTAGACATCACCCGCTTCACTAGTTGCATCAGGAAGTATTGGTTCTGCAGCAAGGGCTGGTTACAAAAATGATCTTGAACTTGCCTTGAGCCTATTGATCATTCTTTTAGTTTGGTAGAAAAAAAAATGGCCTGCTCATTAGAATTTGTTTGTTCCCGCGTGTGAGTTTATTATAATATGTATAAAATAATATTAATTGTACATGTCGCAATTAAATATAAAAATCGAATCACATTTTTATTGTGAAATTATCGCGATTGCGACTGGCCCTACCTCTTATCTATTGTCATCGCAAAACATGCGATAAATGGAATTGCCTTTGTATAAGAGGATTGGGAATTGCCTTCGCTTAAGAAGAAGAACCGACGAACCTTATTCCATGTTTATTTTAATCTTTTTATTTTTATTTTGTTGACAGTCCATTGAACCAAAAAATGAAAAAAAAAAAAAGAAACCAAGCATTTACTTATTTTTTTAAAAAAAAATTCTTTAAAAGTATTACCTATCTCTGAAAGGTCTGTCTTTTAGGAGATCTCATTCCATCTTCATTTTCATCTTTTAAAGTATGTCACTTTATATTGTTCTGCATAAAAAAAATTCCAAGTCTCAGGTAAGTTAAAAACCAGCTATGGTTTTGGGTGCAATTTTAGTTTTTTTAACAATCTGTTGAACAAAAAAATTAAAAAACGAATAAGAACGGCGAAACTCATTCCATCTTCATTTTCTTCTTTTCATCTTCATTTTTGACAACCTGTTAAAAAAAAGAACGACCGAAGCATTATTTAATTATTCAAAGAAAAATTATTCAAAAGTGTTATCTATTTACTTGTCAAAAGACATTTTCAGGTCTTCGACCCGTTCAAACCTATTAAACATGATCACCATTAATCACCCCAAACTTTCAAGTATTCTCAGATAAACTCATGCCTCTTTTTTTAATCTATTTATCTACCGTTAAAAAATAAAAATTAGAAAGTAACTCAGATTTGATAGTGTAGAATAAATATCTGATCTGTGACAGTCCATTATTGGGATTCTGAGAGTTTAAGGAAATTTTGGCTGCTATTTTAGTACTTTTTGACAGTCCGTTGAACAAAAAAAAAAAAAAAAAAACCGGCAGATCTTATTCTGTCTTCATTTTTATCTTTCTATCTATGTTTTTGACCACCCATTGAACACAAAAAAAATAAATAAATAAAAAGTTGAAACACTACTTACTTGTCCAAATTGTTTTCTAAAAGTGTTATCTACTTATAAAAGGGCCGTCTTTGAATTTTCGGATCTTATTCCAGCTTAATTTCCATCTTTAACAACATGTCATTATGTATCGTCCTACTTGAAAGATTTCGAGTTTTTGGAGGTACGATAGTTTTGCTGTATTTAATTATTTTTTGACAACCCGTTGAACAGAATAATAATAATAATAATAATAATAATAATAATAATAAGAAGAAGAAGAAGAAGAAGAAGAAGAAGAAGAAGAAGCGGCGAATCTCATTCTGTCTTCATTTTCATCTTCCATCTTTGTTTTGTTAACAACCTGTTGAACCCCCCTCCCCCCTCCAAAAAAAAAAAAAAAAGAATCAAACATTATTGTCCGAAGAGAAATTCTTCAAAAGTGTTATCTAATTATGAAAGAATCGTCTTTCAGCGGGTCTCATTCCATCGTTATTTTTATCTTTAACAGTACATCACTTTGTATTGTTTTGGTTAAAAGATTCTGATTGTTTGGTAGGTTGATAACAAATAATGGTTTTGGTGCAGTTGTAATATTTTTTTGACAATCTCTGTTGAACCACAAAAAAAAAAAAAAAAAACGAACCGGAAGATCTCATTCCATCTTCATTTTCACCTTTTCATCTTCGTTTTCGACATCGTGTTGAACCAAAAAAAAAAAATAATAATAATGACCAATAACTTTTTACTTATCCAAAGAGAAATTCTTCAAAAGTGTTATTTAATTTCTTATCCAAAGAGATTTCAAGGTCTTGGACACGGTAGGCATATGCGTTTAGATAATAATCTTTGAATTTCATTTTGGTTTTATCACCATATACAAAAGAAAACAAAACTCGTTTCTTGATCTAAACCCGTCAAATACCATCACCACAAATCATCCCAAAATTTCAAATATTATCAAGTAAACTCATGTCACCTATATAAACTTATATCGCGTTTATCCATCTCTTTGTCTGCGGTTTACAAAAAAATAAAAATTAGGAATAAAATCAAATTTGAATATGTAAAATAAATATCTAATTTTTGACAACCCATTATTGGGATATTTAAAGGAATATTGACAAAAAGGTGTAATGTAGTCTCTTCCTCATTAAGATATCTTTCGCAAACCTTTGGAGTAGAGCGTCGAGTTCTTGTCAAGAGAGTTACTAATTTTCACATAAATTAACAAAACTAAATTAACTAATAATTTTTATTTTAATCTCCTCTAGTCAATATATTAATAATTCTTAAACCATGATTCTAATTAATTCTTGAAAATTATTGAAACCAATTGGGACCATTAGAACGTTCCTATTTTCAAATTATCAAATAGGCATAACACATATACAATTTGTTATAGTCATTAATTCATTATCAAATTAGTACAACCAATCCAGAAAAAAAAAAAAAGAAAAAAGAGTAAGCAAGCATTCTTCCAATTAATATTGATTAGAAAATACTATAGCCACTAATTATTTTTTTTTGAGTTAATTATTTTGTATCAGTTGTAAGAGTATATATCATAATACAACTTCAGATTTTTGTCCATATTTGGTATGAGCAGCTTTGTGTTAAATTAAACACTACTAAAAGGTCAAATGGCATTACTAATCGATATTCCTTTATGATAGTATAATAAATTAATAAAAGCTCTCCATAACTACACCAGAGGGTAATACTACTTTCATGGTTGTTTAAATTTATTGTGTTCGAACTTTTAATATAAATTTATACATTTTTTATTCTTTTCAGTCCCCCAAATATATTTTCTCAACAATTTCGTAATTTGCAAAAATATTGCAATATAGAAAGTATTTTTCACAAGTTCCATTATTTTGCTGTTTAAATCTCTATATGTATGGACTCCCGACACGCATCCTGCTTTCGGGTCAACTTGAATTTAGCCCATAACCAAAAAGATAACTTATAAGAAACAATCATCATTGAAAGTGTAAAATTGACGAACTTGAAGAATCAGGTAGCACATCAATGGAGCTTTAAGGACCAAATTGACAACCAATTAAAAATTTCAGCTTTCAAGTGCAAGGGTTCCTGGAGACATGGGGCTTTTTAACAATTTTTAAAAATTTTCATTTTCAACCTCCCGATATGAAATTTTTCGGCCAAAAAAATATATTTGCCGGCCAAAGGGATCCTTGCCGTTGCACCCCGATCTCGCATTATGGTGCACAGATTTCATCATTTTTTTAAGTCAAAATGATTCCCATGATTAGTTACAGAAAACCCATATCTTAATTCAGCCGATCCATGCTGGAATAAGAACTAATGAGGTTGGAATCGGGAATCTTGTCGGGTTCTGTTGACACTTTATCTTTCGCCGTTCTGCTCTTTATCGTTCATCGCTCGCCGTTCTGTGGTTCATTGTTCATCCGTTTTGCCGTTTCGCTCCGTTCAACCACGCGAAACAATCCCCATGATGAACTCCAGTCATTTGCTGTGAGCTTATTAATAAATTCATAAGAAACCTTGTCTTCAACTTTGACATTTGAAATCTCACACAGTCACACACAACAGGGTTCCGTCGCTGAACTACAATATTGAATTTAGACTGTTAAAATTTATCGTTTTTTACACAAAAATGATTACCTAAAGAGTTTCACAAAATCCCTAAGAAAGGCAAAAAAATTAAATGGTAGCATGAAACATCAGTGTTTCGGAAGTCGGATTTATGATGATAATCACGATCGTGGATGTCATCAATGCTGAAGAAGGACAAATCAAATTAAAAGCATCTGTTCATTTATGTGTCTAAGTAAAAGTTTAAAACCATAAATATTAATTAATTTAAATTATACTCCCTCCGTCCAAAAAAATAGTCCAATTTGAAAATGTACAACTTTTTTAATTTGGTCAACACAATAAATGTGCAACTCATTTTATGCCCCTAATTTACACTAATGTCCCTTCTAGTTATTTCTATAAAAATTAACTACATATGCATTTATTTTACAACTTAAATTTGATCAAAATTTTTATCTCAAAAAATATTGACAATAGATCTTGATGGAAAGATCTCGTTACGCAGATTAATTTGATATATAACACATTTTTTAATTATTCATGTATTAAAAGATATAATTATTTGAAAAAATGGGAGAAAACTAAAAAAATGAAAATCAAAGGAAGTGAATATTGTTTTCCTTACCACTACTCTTTTGGATATTTAAGTCATTTTAATTCAATTAATTTTGATTTTTGTGAAACGGGACTATTTTTTTGGGACAAAATTTTTTATTAAACTGGACTATTTTTGTGGGACGGAGGGAGTAATAAGTAAAATTTAGGATTTACCGGTTCGCATAAAATTTTTACTGTTTAATGACCATCTAATGATTTAATGACATGTGTCTCTGAAAATGTTGATGGCCATTTATCAAAAAAAAGAAAAGAAAAGAAAATGTTGATGCCGATTATTTTTCTTTCCTTTATATATATATATATATATATATATATATAATGATTCACTAATTTCCCATTTCTTACCGCATACCAGTATACCCTCCGTCCAAAAAAAATAGTCTATATTGAGTTTTGAGTTTTATACTATTTTTAGTACAAATTTGAAAACTTAATGTGGACTATTTTTTTGGACGGAAATAGTATTTTGATAATAAATTTTCTGCTCCCGTTGAGAGACAATGAAGCTGCTAACAAATCCTCATTGGGCACGCTGCTAGTACAATGATGCAATCATGCGTGCAGTATATCATATTTTCTCTATACAAGAAAAACAGTC